CGTGTAAATTCATGATTTGAGGGTGGTCCTTTGAATTATTACACTGCAGGTTTTTGCGTCCAGCTTTGAGTGTAGAGACTGTTGAGGGTAAATTTGGAAATCTGGGGCTCATACACAGTTTTACACTGTACTTTTTTTACACAAAATGTTGTATGTAAAATATTGGGTGTAAAAGTGTAAGTTGGTCACGTGCTATTACACTTTTACACTGGATATTTTACACTTCACTTTTTACACTTAAAAAATTTGGTCTGATGGAGTGTAATATTGTAACTGACACCACAGGAATTAATAAGTTCAAAAACTGATTGAGTGAAATTGTGGTGTCTGAGTCCGCAATTCCGCTCAATTGTGGATCTAGTTTACAACTTGTTCACATTATGTTCACAAGTTTTCCTTGAGTTTCCCTGCTAAGCCTATGTACATATATACACACTACATACCTGTACAAAGGCCCCTTTCAGAACAAAACGTGCCTTTGAGAACATTTTGAGCAAATCTGGTTTTGACGACTGAGGAATCTGTGAGCATAGCCAACTCAGGATTGAGAACTTGAAAGGTTGAAGGGTGACCAGTTGATCCAAGCCATTTACAGCTCAAGGGAAACTTGTTAACTTAATCAACACTCGGATCTCACCGTAAAGCAATAGATTATGGTTGTGACTACGCTGCGGTAGACCGTTTTGAATGCCTACTGTTTTGTAACATTATGAGGCGCAACCGTAGTGAAAATCTCACTATTGTACAATGAAACCGTACTGTAATGCACTGAAATAGTGGTCTTAAGGCCAGATTATGGTTCATCACGGTGAAATTAAAGAAAATTTGAAATTTGTAACTAAATATTACTATTATCTTAACAAAATTGACGAGAAAGGTAAAACAAAAAGGAAATAATAAACTGAAGACAAAAGACATTGGCAGTAAACAACATAGAGCCAATAAGAGAGGGAAAAAATGAAGGCAAGTAGAGAAGAGGAATTGGGACTACTTCTTCTCCTTCTTCTTTTTTCTTGTTCCTCATGTTCTTTGAGATACTTCACCGTGTCCTTGAAATTATCTGTAGGGACTATTCCACACTTGATCCATTCTCGGCAGCCCACCTTCCAAGTGATGGTATTGGGAAGAATCGATCCTTGCCCAGGTGCAGCAACGTCTGCCGCCAAAGAGAAGGACCGCTCCACACAGCAAGTGGGTGCCAAAGGTAGTCCCTTGCAATTGATGCCAGTACCAGGAAGGAGTTTTGATGCTTCTGAATAAGTTCAAAAATACCATATCAGTGTCAAATAAAATGATGCAATAGATTATGAGATGTACCCTCCACCAGTCCAAAGGTATCTCATCAGGCAAGATGCCAAACTTGCCAGATAAATAGTCAGTAAGCCCATTATTGCGTTGAGATGAAAACAAAAGGAGAAATAGCCTGAAATGGCCTGAAATGGATGGAAAGGGTATGTGGTGAACCAATTTGGTAGATAACCTGTAGTCAACCGTAGTGACTACGGGTTACACTTTGGTCACCATAGTCAAACTGTGGCGTAATTGTAGTTTACACCATAACCTCTTTCTCCATTGACACAGTACGGACAAGGGTACCGTAATGTCAGAAAGGCAATTGAGGTACAGTGCGGGCTGTACCGCACCGTACTGTTTACCGTTATCAAAACGCTAAGGTCCAAGCGTTGACGTAATGTGAACAAGTTGTGAACTAGATCCGCAATTGAGCAGAATTGCGGACTCAGGCACCGCAATTTCACTCAATTGGGGTTTGAACTTATGAATTCCCGCAGTGTGAGTCTGACCCCGGGTCAGAGAGTGTAAATTGTTGAGTGTACAAATCTATTGACCCCTTTAGTAGCAGCAAAGTTGTAAAAAGGTCACACCACGGGAATTATCAGCTGTGAAACCTGATTGAGCAAAGCTGTGGTGTCCGGGTCCGCAAATTTCTTCAATTGAGGATCTTGTTTGCTATAGGTTTGCCATATGTTTGCTAGCTTGCCTTGAGCTGCCCTTGAGCCGTGTAGAATACAGTATATACACCTCCATATGTATGTAATAGCTCATATTAAGGGGTGTCAAGTTCAAATTTTCACATCAAAAAAAATTAAACACAGGAAAGTTTTTACATTTTGACTGTAAAAAAACTTTGCCGAGTTGTTATGATCACTTGTAAACCATGATCAAGACTTTTTGGCTTTTTTGCCTCGGTTATCCGCTTGGCAAAGAGAAAACTGTTGGTAAGAGGATGAAAGGTTGTGCTTGCATCCACTCTCTAGTCCACCTTTTTCCGAGAGTGAAACAGCCCAGGTGAGGTCTTTGAATTTGGGTTGTAAACTTACCTGTTTACGTTTTTACAAAAACGGGATTCATAAAAACTTTCCCGTTTTTGTAAAATTTACGTAAATTTATGCTACAACGGAAAAGTTTTTTACGGTTTTTGCCGTAAAAAAAATGAACTTGACACCCCCTATTGTATGGATTAAGGGTAACCCTCAAGAGTCCTTTGTTTGTCTTCCTTACCAATCCAGCTCTGCCTCATAAATAGGATTTATACTCACTAGCCTGAGGGAGGTTGAATATGAAACAAGTTATTGTGAATGATCCACATGATCTTGAGTGGTCTGAGGATATTGAAAGGAAAACAGTGCATAAAGGAAGCACAAAGGAAGGTATGATCAAGAGCTTTATGTATTACATCCATATGTAAATACTTTTTACATATGTAGGTGTATATACTGTATTCTAGAGTCTAGACGACTCGAGGGCGGTTTGAGGCAAACTAGCAAACATATGGCAAACCTATGGCAAACAAGATCTGTTATTGAAGAAAGTGGTGGACCCGGACACCGCGGCTTTTCTCAATCGGGTTTCACACCTGATAATTCCTGCGGTGTCAAAAAAGTCAAAGATTATGTTTATCTTGATCAAGAAAACACATCTACATTGTTCACTGACACTCTTGTTGTATGCATTGGTGTAAAACTTTTCATCTTGCCTGATGTGACCGGCAGACGTAGCAACCCTGGGCCAGCAACGCAGGTGTTGCGTGTTGCGCTGCGCCTGCGTTGCGGTTTTTCTGACCGCAGCGCAACATAGAATCAAATTCTAGGTTGCGGCCTGACCCGCAGCGCAACATCATTTGTCAAATCGATGGATTTTTTGGGCCGCAACAACATTTGTTGCGTTGCTGCCCAAAAAAAATCACAGTTCGGCGTTTTTTTGGTGCTGTTGCGCCTGTTGCGTTGCGCGACGGTCAAGGCGCCGCGCAACCTGACCTCACCTTTTGTTGTTGCGGTACTTACCGCAGCGCAGCATGTAATGCAGGTTTGTGCTGCGTGTTGCGGAGCAACGCACCAAAAAACACTCGTGTTGCGGTGCGTTGCGTTGCTGGCACAGGGTTGGACGTAGTGTGAATATTGCCGGTGGATGCAGTCACCTTTCCGGGCTCGTCAAATCATAAATGTTATGCTATATGGATGTGTTATTTCTATTTGAGAACCTTCCTGGTGATGAAGTGCCAAATTTTAAGGTTCTGTTAAGTGAGACCATGGCTCTGTGCTTGAGACGGGATGACCCATTGTCTTAGCAAAATCCCAAATGACCGTTGCTCGCAGTGATATAGGCCAAGTGAGCATCAAGATCATCATCTGGTATGGCTTCATGTTGAAGAGATTCATGCGAGTTGTTTGATGCTTGATCTGATAACCTGTTGGTTGTGATTATGGAGAGGCCATAGTGGAGATCACAAAAAAGGTGAAAACCGCAAAGATGTGGATATCTACTTTGTCTTTCTGAAACAAAGTAGATATAAAATTTTGAACTAAAACATGTAGCATTGCATTGGAGCCAACAAAGGAACATTACTTTTTCTGCACAATGCTTCTAAAAATGTATGTATTGCTTACGTGTTTTCCTTTGTATCTTCTTCTGAGGTTCTATTCATTGAAAAGAATAGCAATCTTGTGCCTTCCCTTGGCCCGTCTGAGGATATTTCTCTGAACATTGGTTACATATCTAGATCTGAGTCCAGATTTTGATTGATGAAATCCTGCATTTGATACACCTGATTCAAATGTTTCCCATGGAGCTCAGGAACTATCAATTAATCAGGCACTTTGGTTTGTGTTTTTGCAACGCTTCACCAAAAACCCCTGGCTGTTGGAGAAAAGGAAACACGCTGGGTGTTTCAGCGTACAGCTACAAATTTTGTTCAGGATCCACCAATAACGCAAAAGGACATGCAAATTAGATGACGGGTTGGGGAGGTCGTTGAGAGTTTTCTCGTTGGCTGTAGTAGCCCACGCCCCGGTTTATTGCTGCGATGTGTTGTTGCAGGAATGTGTTACATTTGAAGGCCTTTGGTCCTTGTACGATAGTTGTGGGAGTGGTAAGGAATGGTTCGAAAAAAGTCGCAAAAAGTGCGCCACCACACCGGCTTAGCTTACACGCGGGCCGCTTCTCATTTCTAACCATGTGTACAATACATGACTGAATTCTTCGGGATCGTTTATCAACCTGAGTTAGCCTGAGTTGCACCGTTATGATCTAGCGGAAGACAGATTTTACTCTAACTTTGTAACCAAGTCCAATCCTTCCTCGCACATTTCGCGTTTCATCCATTCTTTTTTCGATTCGGCATCCAGCTTGCGAGTTTGCCTGCTTTTGTTCTTTTCAGGGCCTGATAGGGTCTGGTAATGACCTGTGAAGGGTCAGAAAGTAGCAGAATGTACGCAAATTGCTTGTCGGCTTGATGAGGGGGCTGTGGCTTCACCGGTGGGGGCGCGGCCCTGCAAAACATTTGAGCCACAATCGGTTCCGATGGGGCAAGAACTGGCAAGAATGCTCAGCGCCACTTAGTTTTGTGCAAAAAAAATTGAAACCCCTTTATAAAGCATATCTTTTCCGCACACAACAACACTCACCAGGCTCCAAAAGTTTTTAAGCTCCATTCCCATCACAAGTCTCAACTGCACAATACCATTTTTATTTACCTCGCCAACATGAATTTCTCCACTCGCCACTACGTTATGATTATATTTGTCGTTCTAAACCTGGTCAATCAAGGTGCCACTCAAGACGGCTCGGGTGTCGTGTGTGCATGGTCCTTCAGCAAGAACGTCGATACCAACCGGTCCGGTAAGTAAAACGTTTCTCCCAGGGATCATGAACCCAACAAAAATTCACCTGTGTCAAAATTGTGATCGTGTCACATTGTGCTGACATGCATGTCTTGACCTGGAATGATTAGTTTGCAGTGACGGCATTTATAGATACGTCTTTGCCAATGATTCATGTCACCGCACTAGTAAGCAATTCTTCACTACATAGACTTCGTCGCTCTTCAACTAGCAACGAGCCCAAACTGACGCTAGGTGAACTACACCAGAGCCAAGTGAACCTACTGCGGGCGTTGATTGTAAGACGCCCCCTCCCGAGAACGACCCCACCGACGGCGTCACGTGCGACTGGTATGACCTTGTGCATAACAAAAAGGATTGGACTCGTGATTACTATAGTGAGTAGACAAAATCTTGCAGATATCAGACAGTGGATGTATATACCGATGCTGATATTCCACCACTTGTTATGCGTGCGACTTTGTATGACCAAGCTTGTACACAACTCCCTGCAGACGACACCCAGTCAGAAGGATCGTATTTTTGTGGAAGTATGAATAACATTGAACGTGAGTCCACTCCGAATATTTCTCAATCAATGTAAATAAGTTGTCCTCAACTGTCATTATCTTATAACTTGTAACCGTTTAGATTGTTACGGTAGCTACATCTCCAAGGAAAAACTACCATCGGTAATCAATTAAAGATGATTGCAATCCCACAAATACAAGCCGACTGTTGAAAAGACAGGACAACTCTTTGGACGTCTGCTATTACCGTTTCTACAAGTCAAGAATGGCTAACTAACCTCACGATCTCATGTTAGAAGAATAGCTTGTTGTGTTGTGCTCTTGGGTCTCTCTTTGCTTTTAGTTGTGCTCTCAATTTCAAATAGTACAAATATGACGCAGTTACCAAGACGTGAATATATCTTTGAATTTTTAACTTGACCGCAACTTGGAAACAGTCCAGTGGCTGAAGTGGATGCATTGCAATCAGGTGCTGTTGTTGTTTCTACTCGAGAAAGGAAACCTGGCGACTGATTTGATTGGAGAAGAGCTTCCAACCAGTCAAAAGTGCTATGAAGCGCAGATCAAATGTGTTTGGCAACGAAGTTGAAGCTGGTCAAGGGTTAAACTCGAAGCGTCCGAGACGCAGCGTGGAGGCAGGGTGTGAGAGGCGAAAGCGCCTCGCGAACCTGTTTTTGGCGTCGATAACTGTTTTCAAGGTTGGAAGCACATGGGAGTTATGTAGCTTAAAGTTTTTTTCAACCCAAATCTGAAAAGATGTTCAAAACTTACAGGACATGTTATTTAAGATGTTTGGAACAGTGAATTATAGCCTCCTAGCCAATATGGATCAGTTTGACTTGGGAGGCCTTCCAGTTTTCAAAATCTAGCATCTCAGTTTTGCTATTTTTAAACTGAACTATTGAATAAAGAACAATTTTTGATAAGACATTCACAATGCACATACACCAAATTCAATCACAATAAGGTCATTCGTAAGGCTTGCTTCACGCGTACAAATGATCAATAATATATTGGAAACACATATAACATATAGCTTCTCTTCATCTTACAATTCATGATAGTCAATCAAACCAAATCAATCCTTCTTGTCCAATTTGAACCCTCTAAGATAAAATACATAGAAATAAATAGTCTACTTTATAAATAAAACTACCCAAAGAAATTCTGCTAATTTGGGGCTTTACCGTCTCTAGCATCAATCGCAGTCAGGAATGAAGCGTAACTCCAAGTAAGCTCTCTAGCACCTGACGATCCAAAAATAATTGAAAGAGGCGGAACTTCAGTATCTCAAAACCAAGCAGTTGAACTCATTAGACCCTAACAATAACTGACCTCTCATCATTCCAGTCTCTCGATGAATTTGTTCACTCATCTTAGATCCCAATGATCCATACCCTCCTTTCGGTCCATGTGCTCCACCACCTGCCCATTTCATACTAACATCTTCTAAAAACGTATCAGCCCATTGCTTAATTCCTTTGACCAATTTCGTAAACATCTCAGAACCACGAGAAATCACTAATGGTGTATTTTCAGGTATTTCTAAATCACTTATGAATCTTTGGAAAAATGTTAAACTGATAGGTGTGATGGTGATTGAACCGGTTTTTTTGAAGTGATGGGCTGTTAGGTAAAGTGTCTCGGCAACAGTGTTTGTGCAGAGGAACCAAGGATGACCGACTGAGCTTCCCTTGCCATCGTAATTGTCCTCCTGTGAGAGATGAAGAATATAGGCAATGGAGGAGAAAGAGGATGATGAAGTTAGAACACCACATCGATAGTCAAACAAATAAATAAGTGTTTCAAAAGAAGTACCGGATATCTTCCAATAGCGATTCCGTCCAATTTGCTTTGTTGACTATTGATTTTATACACGGCTGAAAAGACATCTACCAAGCGATCCAAGGTCGCAAGACTACGGTCCGACCACGGGGACCAAGGTCCATCAAGATCATGTCTAGCAGTATGATTAATAGCAAGTAAGACGGCCGTATCCGTTTGGAATGGTTTAGGTTGACCATCTAGTCTATCCAAAGTAGGAAGTATATGTGGCTTGTTGAGTACTTGATCACTTATCAATCGTAGACAATCCTCAATGATCTTACTATTCCCTGCGCCGGATATACCAAAGGTTCCATCTGGTTTCTTGGCTTGTGTATCTACTTCTTCACAACCTGGCCCTCCTTCACGTTTACCTACTCCTTCGGGATTCCAAAACTCTTCAAGTCTTGTATCCATCTCGACCAGCGTGTTGCGGTATTTGTGGAGTATAGTTTCGTCAGCTGGTTGAAAATAAGGTCGCGAAGAAACAAAATCGAGCATGTCTTGAACCGCTCTTCGCTGAACCATCAAAGTATAAAAGTGACCTCCGTTGGTAGCTTTGACTTCTTCCCATAAATCAAACTAATTATGCAAGAATGAAACAGATAGTCAGTTTTTTTGAAAAATGGCCTTTTTGTCTGGTAAAGCATTCACTGACCGTTGGGAGGCGCCAGGTTTCACAGACATGATTAATGTCCATGCTAATAAAAGAGTTGGGATCGCCTTTCGAATACAAGGTGGACTCGATGAACTTCAACCCTTCGATCTGGGCTTGCTGATCAGTATGAGTTTCGACGAGATGCTTTGCATATCGAATCAAAGTTGAAGCGCGAATAGCAGGGCCGTCCTACTCATCAGTATGAAGAAGTAAAACATTGAATCAGACTAATGAAGTATATAATGACGATCAGATTATATACAATCCAGCTGAAACCCAAAGAAAGAAGCTGAGAACCAACATTTTGAGGTCGACCCCAAGTTGCTTCAAATGGAGTTCCATTGACCAGAAATTTAGGTTCACCTAATCCACCATTCCAAGGAGACCCCGAAGGATTATCTAAGAATTGTAATTTCCGATTCATGATAATAAATCCTTTAATCAAATCATCAAGACGATTGAAATCTTCATTTTCTAATCCGATCAATTCACCCATTTCAACTTCTTCTAATTTTCTTAAAATCGTTCTTAAACATAAACTTCCATCACGAGTCCATTGAAAAAAATAATTTTCATTCTCGTTTTCTGGATCTAAATAAGAACCTGGTCTAGATGGTGATGCGATCATACATCCAGTAGAAGTACCTGTTGCATTCTTACCATCAGGTCCAAAAGCAGCCACGATGCTAGTAAGCGCAAATAGTTTTTGATAATGAATCCATCCGTCTAATCCTAACTTTGGCTCCTTTTCCTTTGAGTTTTGTTGACCACGACTAACGAAAGGAAAAGCTTTTGATGGTGAGAAATTCGAAAAATGACGCGATAACCATAGACCAGCAACGCTTAAAGCGGCAGTGGAGGCGACAAGTGCAACGACCTGTTGATGAGACGGATTACCACTTCGAGATGGAAGTCGCTTCAAGAATGCTGATGAGTTTATGATGGTCATGATTATAGTTTTGATGAAGGTTTGAAGTATTCCAAGTGAAGGGTTGAACTTGAGTTAAGTTGAAAGTCAACCAGATTTACCAAACCACCTTTACTGGCTTTTACCCCAATCAAACTCTTAATCCTCACAACCACACAACCGTCAACAATTATCATCTTCAACTTGAGACTAACATACCAACACCACTCTGCATACTAAAAAGCAACTCAACTTGAAGACAATTACATGAGCTCATCACAGAAAATTCACTCCTGGAGTCCCACATTTTCTTTACCAGATGTCTGAACTTCATCAAGGTCATACCGGACTGATGGCTGGTCCTGATGAGTCCCGCTATTATGTTTCTCAAAGTGGATTGGGATCTCTGGAAAGATGAAGTCTCTTTAGGATTGGGTGTGATTTGATCCTCACTCATACAATTCAACCTTTGGGTTAAAGATAGGTGTGAAAAGATGACAAATACTCTCTTCTTCTATGATACCACTGCCAAATTATGCCCACAAGTATATTAGGGTACATTTGATTGCGATTGTAAGAATAAACTGATTGTTTGGAAAGCAAAAAGAGATCAGGTGAATGCACAATAGTAGCGAACACAGTCCTGACGTTGAGATGAGTTTATCTTTGGGATAGGCCTTGTATGTTTTCCAATGTGATCAATCCCAGAAGATAGAGAATGATTGAAATCACTAAAATAAAGATACCAATATGGATAAGAGATACATATGAGCCTCCAATTCTGAAAGACTTACCTATCAATTCCAACCTAAAGCTCAACATTTTCTTTCAACACAACCCTTCAAAGAATCAACCCCAAATCCAGACCTCATAGATATTGGAAGACAGAAAGAAAATCACTTCAAACAAAACCCTTAGTAATACAGATATAAAGGAATCTTTTCCCAATAAATTTCTTCTCTTCTACCGCTTAATATAGTTCCTTTCAACCTCGAAAAATTATAAACAGTTTCATCTTTTTCTAATAAAACATGTGAACAATTTGTTTTTAAGAATTGATTTAAACATGATAAAAACTTTTGAGATGTTTTATTATTACAGAGTCGTATATGACACTAAAATTCAAAACCATATCAAGAAGTAAGTCAGTTCAATAGCTCAGCAAAAAAAAATAGAGTTGTTTCATGGAAACCAATTCTTCATTTTCGAATACTAGACTTACATTATCAAGTCCTTTTTGTAAATCAACGTATTTCACCAAATCATTTATCTTCTTCTCAGAAATTGAATCACCTAATAAAATGTCATCATTCGTTTTACCAATTTTTAAAATGATAGAAATCAGTTCAAGAACTTGAAGTTTATTAAATCTAACTTCTGGTAAACCTGTAAGCCAAACAATACAACCGATAGGAAATAAATTCTCTTTAACCCTTTTTTGATCGTAATAACCTGATGGATATGTACGAGATGATTTGTAGATGGATCTAGGATAAACTTGTTGATCGGATTGCAAAGGGCGATTAGCTCTTGATGAATATGTTGTTTCATTCTTGAATTGAGTAGTGTTTCTTGAACCCGTCGACTGCTCTGATGATATTCCAGTCTCAATTTGGACATTTACTTCGATTTGAACTGATTTTATAGGTTCGAAAGCTCCAGCGAGTGTCGATACATCGGTGGAAAGTGGAAGTCGATCTAAGCATGGGCGATCGACGTTTTGCTGAGAGTTTGATATGATGGTACTAGAATTTTTTTGATTCTTTGCTTTTTGACGAAGTGCCACAGCTCTAGGAACAAGACTAGCCATGAATTAGGATTGATAGACGTGTGCGAAGGACTATTTCTCGATTCGACATCTTGGTATGGATCGCAACCTCACTCAACTTCGATCAACTCACTCTCTGCTTCCTCACATGGTAAGTCCGAGCTTGGCCAGGGTGGCCCGGCCCCGGTGATGCTGATAGGTTGTGTCAAAAGTCATGGGCATCAGACTTTCAAGACTTGTGTACTCCCAAAGTTTCTACAAGATGTGAAGTGGGATAAATTAAAGAGGCGTAATATTAGAGTATAGGTAAGCTGTGAATCATTGCAATGCAAATAATCAAGATAGATCATGATGGTGCAGTAAAAGTGGTTCCAACCATTACATTACTTACAATCTATTTCTGAAGCCAATGACTGATATCAAGATATGTAGATACAAAAGTGCTGGAAAGATACGTAAGATTAATGAAAATTGACTGTGGAGGTTTTAAACTAATAATCGACTCCTTTTTGTAAGATATGATGTATAATACCAGTTCCAATCATCTTGATACTAGCCAATGTAGCATCAGTATCCATCACCACCAATGCTTTAGATGACGCGCTAGTCTTCGCAGGTTGATCTGATACTGGCTTTGTAAGGTAGTCATGATTATGCGTCTTCATTGTTTTCGGTACTAGTAGAAGTGGATTGAAAATTCCAGCTATAGATGTACCACCAAGGGTGTCATAAAAGAACATGATGGTATCACCGTGCAGTCGCTATAGAAGAGAATAATGAGCAAATATATTCAATAGAGGGTCAATAAACATCTGTTCCTTTGAGCAATTCATTCGAAATACAACACTAACCTGTAGTTCCTTGACAAACTCTGAAATAGGATCATCTCCAATCTCAATAGCAAGACCAAGTGGGTCTACATTCTCATAAACCTGAAGTTGTAAAGACTGTTGTATCCGAGTCATAGCAGCTACATTCAAAACTAAATGAAAGTCATAATCTTCAGCTGGACTTTTAAAGATTGTTTGTACATCAAAATTTGAGGTTGGTTGATTCAGATTAGATTCAATAGCAGATAAAGAAGCTGAAGCTAAAGTTTGAATTCGATCAGCAACAATTCGGTGAGGTCGGATTTGATTCACAGTATTAAGATGAGGTTTGGTATTGGTCCAAAGCCAATCAGTACCATCCAAGTCTTCTTCTGTTACGATAAAATAAGTCGAATGATGAAAACCTGGATCCTTTTTACGTATTGATACGAAATTTTTAATGACTGACTTGACAGGAGTTTCAGGAAAGTGAGTGAGATTAGAAGTTCCAACACCTATTGAACTTTGAAGAGGTATCAAAAGTGGTTTCTCTCTCCATTTCCATTCTTTAATCAATTTCAAAAATCTTAGAAATCCAGTAGAACCAGTAGCAGGTGGTAATTGATCCTTTTCTAAAATTAAATATACAGCAGATGCTAATAATTCAACCATCTCAGTAGAGATCTGACTTGAAAGTAAATGTGATGCAATCCATCTTTTTATAATCCGAACCGTATAAGAAAATGATGGAAATCGTGTCTGAAGTGCAGCAATAGCATCGTGATGTTTTCGTAACTTGATAAATTTCTTTCGAAAAGTCGCTAATGCTTCTAGAGCCATAGGTGATTCACCTTCACCTGCTGATTTACTATCAGCCACAGCTTTGGCTTGTAACATTTCTTCTCGTTCGTAACATATCGAAAGTACAAATGCGTATCCCGTTGAATGTAAGACTTCTAATGCTACATTATCACTAATTGGTAATGCATCAGGGTCAAAGACAATCTCAGACTTGATCACATGTTTATTTCGAATCATTCCTTCCGAGATCTTAGCCAATAGTGCCGCTTTGATTTTTTGAATAGCTTCTAAATCTTCCGGCCATTTACCTGAACTTTCGAATTTTACTTGGCATGTCATTCCTGGTATATACTTTGAAGCATCAGCTTGATATCTATATCCTTTCATTTTTCGTGGGCCAGGTATGAAGACGGATGAGTATCGAAGATGCTCTGAAGTTGGCTGTACTGAAGTGATTGAAAGTGGTAAGAAATCGTCCTTGTTCAACTCCTTCAAATCTTTTACAAACTCGTTAAAAGCTTTGATGACATTGGTGAATCCTAAGCATTTAGGGTCCTTTTCGTATATCTTCTCTACGTAATGAGGATGCTCTACAATCAAATTATCGAATGTACCAATAAAATCCGATATGACTTGTTCCTTTTGATCGGCAAATCCTAATTTCTTGCTCAAAACCCAACGAATGATTTGCTGTACAATCTTGAGTCGTTCTAGTGGATCAGATACTTCCCAACTAACACATTCTTCGATCGTACCATCTTGAAATCGTCTCAAATCACATTTATCACCCCAGAATTCTCGAAAAGCCGCGGCTTCTATCGGTGATGTATCCGGAGAATGGCCGTGGGTAATGACATTGAAAGCCTGAGCAGGATTTAAAATCACACCGAGCTTCAAAGTTACATTATCCGCTGTAGTAGACGCGTTGGACCCACCCTCTATTGATCTCGTATGTTGTAAATCATTGATTAAAAAGCCGAATCCAGACAAGCGATCTCCACAGGCCTTGTTGATTATTTCAGAAATTGCAAAAAGTGCCTCATTTGTATGTTTTCCTTCTAAATCTTGACAAATTCGTTTCGTATCCCGAGGTGAAAGCTGAACCATGAAGTGATAATCGAATGTACACGAAAAGCTCATCAGAGGTTTGAGGAAAAGTGAGTCGAAAACGTCATATCCAGATTTAAGAAGTGTTGAGGAATGCATGGCAGCTTGCTGAAGCTGTGGTTTGTTCAAGGATAACATCAGGGTACATCAGCTTCAAATTGACTACGGAGAAGATATGAAGAGGGGTCATTCAATACCAGCTGAAGAGCGCCTGACGGTATATTTGCCAAAAGGTTGATCTGTCCAGTAGGATCAATGAGAACGTCACCGGTGCCAGCAAATTCACCCTCATCTACAAACTAAGCGCGCCAATGAAAGATTAGTAGCTAGCTAAAGTATCATTTTTGAAGCATGGCTGAGACTTACCGCACTAGATCCATCGATCGGCCTCATTCTGACTAATGAATTCGATTTCCATTTGGCTGACAGGCAAAAATGGAATTCCAATTAGTATACCTTCAAGTTTACGAATGGAATATAATCAATATTACCTATCCATTCAATCACTTGTCGAAACAAGACTGTCGCATCAGATCCAACAGAAGACATAGGTTGAGCTCGCTTTTTTCCATTTTCATCTTCTCCAACCAAAACATGAGCTACCAAGAAACTAATCAGCCAACCAAATCTTTCATACCCGAAAATCAAAGGAGGATCGGGTAACGAAGCTCCCGATGGATGGTAAAAGCCTCGTTGTTTGGCCCAAACTTTCATCAATCGACATGTTTTTACAAAACGCTGAATGATTTGTGCCAAGTTCACTAAAATATGAAAGATGAGCAAAGTGAATAGATGTGCTGTCAAGTAGCACGGATTGATTGTAGCGTGGTGTAGGTTTCTGTGGAGGTTTGAGATTTGCTCGTGTAGGAGATAGTCTCGCGGGTGAAAAGACTGTGCTGGGGTATGATGGGATCAATCTGATCGAAGGTCTAAAGTTTGCGGATGGCATAGCTCCATTTGGCTTGAGTAACAAAATTGGCTTGGATGCGTCATTATGTAGATTGACATATGACATATCGAAGTGGCCTGCAAATGATGATGATGACAAGGAGACGGCCAAGTACGCTAGATAATGAGCCCGTTTATGAAAGTATCGGTTCGATAAGTAGTCCTTTTCTTGCAATATATCCTGAAAGAGGACGTATGCGAATCAAAATCCCGATCTCGATTAGTTTCAAAGCATTCAGAGGCTGGAAAGACTGTCAAGACTCACACCGGGCATTTCAACCATCAAATCTATACAATTGAACCGCCCCTTACCTTTGGCAAGCTTGACACCAGTTTGCATGATCCAACTACCAACGACTTTGATATCTTGAGGCGCTTTGAAAGTAAAACTCCATTGTACAGTTTCCTTTGGATCTTCAAAAGGTAAACCGATACCTAATGTTTGTAATCTTTTTCTTGAATCCTCAAGTGAAGTTTTTTCTATTGTTGGAATAGAAAGTAAATGCGATCTTAGAGTACCGAGGAGATCGACGAGTTCTAGACTTTTATTGTGAGGAAGACTGGTAGATTCTAAAAGCGAAGATACCTGCAGTGAAAAGCGAGTTAGTTTCAGTATGAAGATGAGAAAATATATGTGTTTGTCGATCAAAGTGTAACAAACCTGTAGAGGAAATGTGACCCCAGAAGCTGGACTGCATGCCGCTATCATGTCATCCAAGTCTGTTTCAGTATAAGTGGGTTTCGTGGCTGCCTTTGTAGGAGCTTTGGGATCTGAGACATCTTGATTTTGCGATCCAGTATCTTGGTTTGGTATAGAAGGACTTCCGTCCGTGAGAGGGTCCTTGGCCGCTGTGGAAGTCTTTTTGTGCTTGGTCTCAATGGCCATCTGAAGTCTTGTTCGTTCGGATTGGTGTCACTGGAGCTAGAGTGAAAAAATACGGATGCAAGTCGTCAGTAGATTCTTCTTGATAGCCTCAGCTTCGTGGAAAGACCTCTGAGAAAGACGTACCTAATTTCCAGAGAAATGTGTTTGAGACGAATCTGGAGTTCAACTTTTTTGTGCAAAAGTCTGGTGAAAAAAATTACATATACATAGAAAACTGTGTGTAGCGCTGCGGGAAGGGTCACCTGTACATAGTACCGGGCAGAGACCGTGCTAGTACTCGATGAAATCGGTCTTTTATTTGATCTTCACGAATCATCACCACCTCGGTTGATATCTAGAGATAGGATTTCCTGAGCACCAGATCCATGTTTTAACCACATCGAAGAAGCTCTAGCATTGGCTCGGTTTTCATAATATTCATAAAACATATCATACCAATTCAACCAAGTGGGCAAGCCAAGAATGAATATATCGTCCTTGTGAGCTACTTCGAGAGTTGATGTTTCTGCAGTCACAAATTGGAAGCAACAATTCATCTACGTCTTCCAGACTTTAAAGATCAGGGATCATGTGATGGATTTGTCCAGACTTTCCAAAGGGAAGATATAGCGAATTCTGCAAGTCAAACCTACCTTCTACTTTTTTGCTCCTTGGGATCAAATTTGCAGTGGTACAGTCGAACCCGCGCAGATGTATACCCGCGCACGTGCATAATCAGTCAAAATGCATAGGTGTCGGCCTCCACGCAGCTGGTGCGGGCTAAAAAAGATTTTAACTGCATAATGCATAATGCATAGGCTTTGGGCGAAAAAATCAGATGTTGGAAGTGGGAATGCATAGGCAAAACCCACGGATATGCTGGTGATACTAACAAAAAATTGAAGAAGCAGAGTATGAATTCCTAATGCAAAGTGATATCACCCACATCACTTGTGCTTTTGATTCTGTAAAACTGTGTATCACATTTCTTCGTCATGTCTGCTACTGAAGGTGATGAACCCTCCTTGGGTATCCAATCACTCAGATTTGATAGTTCTTCTCCAATTCATGCCACACGTATTGGTAACATAATTTATCTTGCACCATCACCACTTAAGCCTGCTGATTTCCCGCCAGACTTAATTTCAGAAGAGCACGAATTACATCTCCTTGAGAAAGGTCTCACAAAGCTTAAAGATGACAACCAAGAACGTAGTGATCAACTCGAATCCCGCAAAGAAGCTGGCAAAACTTTAAGCCGTGAAGACGAAGAATGGCTTGATGATAATGGAAACTTAATCACCGAGCAAGTTGTCGTAGATAGTTTTTTAGACCTTGAAGAAAGGAGCCCCTGTCTTATGTATTCTTATCAGTTTGAAGCTTTACAATCTATCATTATGTCTTATCAATCTATCCTCTCTGAAGCTACCAAAACGAAGATGAACAATAAAAAAAAAATCGGATTACTCAAGGTACAATCTCGACTCGCCAAACCAGTCCAATCTGCACGATCCAACCGCACTAAATCAAGTTTGAAGCAAAGTCTCACCTATAGTCAGCGTGTTGAGGTACTCGACTGGTATCATGCCAATGGAAAAATTCAAACAAAGACATTCAAGCATTTCTCTTTATTGTATCCAGATATGGGAGTCAGCCAGCCTAACATAAGCCGATGGGTCAAGGACGAAACACGAATCCAAGAGACAGCTTCAACTGTCAGTGGAAAAACTAAGCGTAAAATGGATGTCAAGTTTCCTAAGGTTGAAGAACTACTCGTAACCTGGGTCCGTGCATGCGAAAACAGTGGTCAATTTGTGACCGGAGACCAGATCAGGGAGAAGTGGAATGAGTTTGCTCGGCTTGATAAGATCCAGAGTAAAGATTGGCTCACCTTGACTAATGGATGGCTCGATGGTTTCAAGGCCCGACACAACCTTCAACAAATCAAACGGCACGGCGAGGCTGCATCAGCCAGTCCAGAGTTGGTCAAAGCTGAGCAAGAGCGTGTCTGCAAGATCACTGCTATGTACAAACCATGCGACATTTATAATATGGATGAGACAGGACTTTTCTATGCGTGAGTCGATTGCTTTAAATATGATACTTTTCACTCCTTTATGTTCTATTCTTCACGTTTCTTAATTCTTAATCTATTTTCTTACATTCAGGATGCCTCCCGATCGTGGTTTAGCAACTCATGCAAGTGCTGGTGTAAAAGGAGCAAAGGCTTGTTTGACAATCGTATGTGTTGCAAACGCTGATGGAAGCGACAAGTGTCACCTTACAATTATCGGTCAATGGAAATCACCACGATGCTTCAATAAGAAGTCGCCATCCGATCTCGGAATCGATTATTATTTCAACAAGACCTCATGGATGACCTCTGTCATCTTTGAGATGTGGATTACCAAGTGGGATCGCGAGCTTCGAGCCAAAGGGAGAACCATACTACTGTTACTTGATAATTTTTCTGGTCACACTGTACCAGCAAACCTTCTCACAAACATCCGACTTGAATTCTTCACCCCAAATCTCACTGCGCATGTTCAACCACTCGACGCGGGAATCATTCATGCATTTACATGCCACTATCGCAAGAGATTCTTAAATCGCGCCTTCAGACGACTCAATGACGATACAACCTCCAAGAAGGTTTATGACATCGACATTCTCACCGCTGCACGCCTTGCAAAATTTGCTTGGCATTCGCTTACTTGCGAAACGATTAAAAATTGTTGGGGGCACTCTGGAATCATCGACTTCAAAGACGATGTTGTGTAGGTCTTCTTTTTTCTGACCGTCTTTTCTTTCTCTAGCACTTCCTTCTGAATATCTTCTTATTTTACATTACTTATAGCCTTCCTGTTAACGATCGAGACAACTTCCCCATGCCAGATGGCATAAACCTTGAAGAAGATTTGCAACGTCTTCAAGATGCGGGCCTTCTCTCCAGCAGGAACCGAATGTCCATCTCCGAGCTATTGAACCCTGAAGACGAAACTCCCGACTTTTCCACCACTTTAACTGCCGAAGACGTCTTTGCTCTAGTCGATCCCTCCAAAGACACAGATGATGTAGACGATGATGAGCCTCAACCTGTACCTACGACTGCTGATGCTTTGGCAGCTGTACACATCATTTTATCTCATCTCAAGGGGACTGGTACAGCTGTTGGTCTCAAATTGGACCATCCCTTGCAAAAGTATGCTGAGATGCTCGAATCCAAATCGTTTTTTGGCAACAAAAAACAAGTGGCCATCACTGATTTTTTCAAGCGGATCCCTATGGCTGATCCTTGAATCTCTGTGTATCCTTTCTCCAGAAGCGTCCTCACAGATGTTTGTTTTTATATCATCTTTATACAATTGTACTGAAGGAAAAACCGACCTCGAAGAGAGTCGTTTTTGTTTCATTTTATACATATACATATGCACGATTATACTCTAAAAAGATGGCCTCGAGAATAATCGTTTTTGTTTCTTTTTTACCCAATACATACCATCGTCGTGCCATACGAGATCCACCTTAACGCATAAAATCATGCAATTATAGCCCACTTTATAAATTATGGTGTACGTGTAGACTCATACTGACATATAAACATGACATGGGTAAAACATGTAATTTTTCCATGTCATGTTTGGTCAAAATTCATCCCCAAGCCAAATACCGTACGACACGACTCATACTGACACACATCGACATGGATTTTTGATTTACAAATCCCGTGTCGTAACATGAGTCATGGCGGACGGTCTGATGGCCGAGAAGTGCCATACTGACAAAAACATGACACCATCTTGCATCTAATAGCTTTACCCGATTCACCACCGGTACACAGTCAACCGTTCCCACCTACCAACTCAAACATTCCCTCCTTCACTTTTGTTTCTTTGAGTAAGTATTTCAACTCCTTCTATCTTTGAAGTACTCACAATATTCAACTTGGAACTCATCAATTTTCCATCAAAAGTCACTTTCTTTCAATCGCTTTCATCCGATTCAATCAAAATCAATCGTTTTCATCCGATTCAATCGAAATCAATTGTTTTCATCCAATTCAATCGAAATCGATTGCTTTCATCTGATCCAATCGATATCGATCATTTCCAGACTCCATCTGATCCAATCAAAATCGATTGTCTCCATCTGATTCACCTAAACTCAATCATCTCAACTGTTCATCATTCAATCAAACCAAATTACACTAAATCTTTAGTTTCTAATCAAAACAATCAAAACAAGCCATCTCATTTATTAAATTCAAAACAATTCATTTCAATTTCTTCAAATTAATGCAACTTTTTTATCTTTAGATTCATCCATTTAAATCACAATGATGATGTGAGATAAAACTTAATTCTTTCTTCCATGATGGTCAGATACCAGTACACGCAGAAGTCTCACAGGCCAATTTGATAGAGGATGGAATCAGATCTTGCATGTTCATTCTTCACTATGTGAATGTGGAACTACTTGATCTCCATTCCTCTATCAAATTGGTTTTGGATCATGATGATTCACGGTCACTGCTGAGGTTCAACTGTACCTGTCCTCCCCAAGACTGGGTTGGCTTCACGCACCAGATTCCTTTTGATGGAAAATTGATGAGTTCCAAGTTGAATATTGTGAGTACTTCAAAGATAGAAGGAGTTGAAATACTTACTCAAAGAAACAAAAGTGAAGGAGGGAATGTTTGAGTTGGTAGGTGGGAACGGTTGACTATGTACCGGTGGTGAATCAGGTAAAGCTATTAGATGCAAGATGGTGTCATGTTTTTGTCAGTATGGCACTTCTCGGCCATCAGACCGTCCGCCATGACTCATGTTACGACACGGTTTTTTTAAATCAAAAATCCATGTCGATGTGTGTCAGTATGAGTCGTGTCGTACGGTATTTGGCTCGGGGATGAATTTCAACCAAACATGACATGGAAAAATTACATGTTTTACCCATGTCATGTTTATATGTCAGTATGAGTCTACACGTACACCATAATAAATGCATAACATTATGCATTTTGGGGGTGTAGGTCCAAAAGTATAACCCGTCTAAATGCATAGCAAAATCGGTCGCCCCAATTTATGCATTTGCGCGGGTTCGACTGTATGCACTTCAGCCCCTGTCAAGAGTCGGATCGTCTTGTGATTCTAGGCGCTAATTTATTACCTTTGCTAAAAAGCTTGGCCCGATCGAGAAAAAATAAAAAATAAATAGACCCAAATTTCGCCGCAGCAGTCACAACGCAGCAGAGAGAAAAGTGGGTGCCTTCCAATCCATTCCATCCGTTTGATTCCTCCGCTGATGCCAAAAAATTTTCGTCCAATCCCAGTCAATCACTTCGTTTTCCTCACCAAACTCAACTCAGTCCCTTGTTGCTTCTCGCATTCTGGAAATGTGTCTCTCCACTGTGGACAATTGATTGATGGTCTGTGTAAGAAAAAAGGTACATTTTTTTGCTTCAATTCCTCCCATTTGTCTCTTCAGTGCATTCCATTCAACCTACTGATAATCTCCAATATCCTTTCTAGGCATCCTTCTCCCATCCTTACCACCATACTGTCCCAAAGGTATCGATTTTGGAGTCAATGTGTTGAAGTTTAGAACTGTAGTTAGAGAAGATTGTCATTGTATAGGAATTAGAATCAATGAATCCTAGATAAGATTGGTGTAAAAATTGAAATCCTTTTACTCTTCTTCATAGGATCACGAGCAAATCGATCAATTTTGATCTTGTTCAAAAAAATGAGTCTCTAGATTACACCAGAGAGTTGAGATTGTTCACAATCTCTCCCATAGGAACACAGGAAGCTCAATCGGTTTTTATCGATCAAACCACTTGATTTTTGATCGGTAAAAACCAATCAAAAGCAGAGATCATTGTCCATCTTGTTCATAGGATCATAGACAATTTGAGTAGGTTTGGATGACTTCAAACCCAATAATATCTTACTTGTCATCGTCCTCATAAGATATTTGAGATTGCTCTCAACTCATGATCATCGGATTGTCTCATGAGTCATAGGAGAATCAATTGGGAATTGACTGGTTTTGATATTGTTCATGACCAATCAATCATTTTGATGATCTCAATCACCTTGAAAACTGACACACATTTTGAATATCTTTCATAAGATATTCAATCTCAGACTTTTGTTATGCAGCAGAGCATGGCACTGGACAGGTTGAAGATATGTAAGATACATCTCATTCAACTTGGCCTTTTTCTCAGATTAGCAGAGTAGTCGTAAGGATCATAAAAGCTTCAACATCAATCCTTAATTTCATGTGTTAACAAATGCTTGTTATCGACATAGGAGGAACAGTGTGAAAAGCTTCACATAACAAATGATCCGTTGGACCGGATTTGACCTACATAGTGACTAAAACATGTGATCTCTGAACATCAAACTTCAACACATTGACTCCAAAATCGATACCTTTGGGACAGTATGGTGGTAAGGATGGGAGAAGGATGCCTAGAAAGGATATTGGAGATTATCAGTAGGTTGAATGGAATGCACTGAAGAGACAAATGGGAGGAATTGAAGCAAAAAAATGTACCTTTTTTCTTACACAGACCATCAATCAATTGTCCACAGTGGAGAGACACATTTCCAGGATGCGAGAAGCAACAAGGGACTGAGTTGAGTTTGGTGAGGAAAACAAAGTGATCGACTGGGATTTGACGAAAATTTTTTGGCGTCAGCGGAGGAATCAAACGGATGGAATGGATTGGAAGGCACCCACTTTTCTCTCTGCTGCGTTGTGACTGCTGCGGCGAAATTCGGGTCTATTTATTTTTTATTTTTTCTCGATCGGGCCAAGCTTTTTAGCAAAAGTAATACCTCCAGTCTCGCACTGAAGACGTTCAATTGGAGATTGATGTTATCAAGCGATCAAAGCTTCCCGTAGCACCATTCTCTCAGTTCAAAATTGATATCCGAACCTGAAACACTTTTCATCTAGCGGAGGAAGCCTTACAGTCATGCCCTAGCACGTGTAGAACAATTCTCCCAATGACAGATTAATCAAGGTCTCAGTAAGGTTTGCGACACGAGTAGAGTGATGTCAGGTGATGTCTCACTTCTTTTGGATGAAATTATGAATCGAAATTGACATCATACAAAGGGTATCGAATTCATTACGACTTGACTTTCTCCCTCAAAGTCCTTTGATCATAGGCGTAATTGTTTTATGAGGAAAATCATTTGAATGCATTCACCTTCGTTTCGAACATTGATATTTTTCGTCATTTTTGTCGCTCTTTTATAAACTGTAGAGATATCTCAAAACGAGAACTGAAGAGTCTGTGTCCATTTACTTGTTCCAAAACTTCGAACTCATCATTCTCAATGCTAACTCAGATTTGGATCAACACGGATGGCCATTCTTTGATCAGATCCCAAAACAGTCTTGGGAGACGTGTTCCTTTATGAAGGGGATAAAGCAACCAATGAATATACTGTCGATTATTCAAAAATCATTGAAGTACCTCTTCAAGACCTTCGAACTACAGCAGAAGAACTGGATCTACATACTCATGGCTTCACTTGGGTTCCCAAACGACATGTCCCTGGAATCGAAAAAATGAAAGAATTCTCTGATGAACACTATCTTGCCTTGAAAGAAGATTCGGTTCAGCTTGTAAAAAAAATGTAAGAAGCTATCTCAGTGTCTTCAAAGATCACAAGTTGAAGCTCACATTGAATTACAATCTTTAGGACAGGAGCAAAATTGGCAGTCGCTTTGAATCTCTTCATAGAGATCACAACTCACTGGAATCATCAATATCATTTCCAGTGATTCACTCTGACATGTCAGCAGAGGGGGCCCTATTTACGAAAGGCTTAGCACAAGAAAAGTTTTTGAAATCAGTTGATCCAGAGGAGGTTAAATTTGGAAAGCACTTACAGCTAGGAGGTGAAAACGTTGTAATCTACAATGTTTGGAGGCCGATCCGTAGAGTTCATGACATTCCTCTTGGTATCTGCAAATGGGATTCAGTCTCCCAAGAAGATGTTTTAGATTGGGGAATCTTACCAACATACGTTGCAAACACTGTTCAGGCATGGAAATATAGAAAAGGTCAAAGTTGGTTTTACTTAAGTAAACAGAGACCTGACGAGGTTTATGTATTTATGCAACATGATAGTCGGGCACCTAATTCACATGGGATTAATGTTCCACACGCTTCATTTTCTTTCAGAGAAGATTTCGGCAAACGAGCTACTCGAATGAGTTTTGAGTCAGTGGTATATGCGATCGTCGATCCAGCTCCGCTTGAAGTTGTTGATGCAGCCTCAGTTGAACTCGTTGATCCGGCCTCACCTGAAACAATGTTATCAAGATGGACTAAGCAAGTCAAATCATTATGGAAAGAATGAAGAAACTCCGAAAAACGAAAACTCTTTATTTAGAATTTGAAGCGCTTCAAACTTTGTTGTATGAGGGAACATTCATCGCATGATAATCTTGCACCATACTAAACCTTCATATAAATCTATTCATTTATCACATATGTAATCCGATACCCATCTAATTGCAATTGGCGCCTGAATACAGCATGTAGTAGAAAACTAATCTGGCGCAGCATAACATCCTGATAAGATGGATGGATGCAAATTGGGCGAACCAAATGGATTCTTTCAGCACATAATTATGAGCTGGATGACTTCAAAATTATAGTAATTGATTTGACAGAGATCCATCAAAGAAACCATCAAATCATAGTTCTGAACTCAAGTTGCTTTTTTGTGCAACATAATCGTAAGGTCGAGGATGGGGTGGAGATAAACAAAGTGATCAACTTTTCGACCTCATGTTTAGAGGATTCTCTTTTCCTGAGGTACTCTATTACCAGCGCCATATTTGAAGTACATCGAAGAAGGTGTAGAGTTGCCTCGATTTTGATAAAACCTAAGATACCAACTTCAACCAAGATCTATGAAGATGTATATCATTCTTCCAAGCTACTTCTGATGTCTCTACAATCGCAAATTGGAAGTGACAATACATGTATCTCGTTCAAACTTGAAGATAAGACACATGATTTGATCCCCCGGAGACTTTCTACAGGGAAGCTACAGGAAGCCCACTGATCAAGTTAAAGTTGAAAGCTACATACTGTTACGCTCCTTGCAAATCAGAGTGGTCTGAACTTCAGGATCTCTCAAAAGTCATATTTTCTGCAATTTCAGCCGTCGACTTACCTTGAATCTTGAATCGAATCAGATGGTCAATTGGAAATTAATGTTATCAAGCGATCAGAGCTTCCTAACCAAATCAAGCGTAAGTTTTTCTTTGCTCGATTTGGAACAAAATCAAATTACTTAAATCTTTCCATGATGGTCCTTTGGACAAAAAAAATCAAAGAGAAATTTCTGGGAAATTGGTTACTGGTACCACGAGTACACCTGAAGATAGTATAGAGAATTGGTCAGACGGTAGTAAGAAAATCAATAATGAAGAGATTGTAAGACTTCGTCATTTTCTGCCCGTCTACGTAATCATCTTCCACCGGTTTGTAAAAGAAGTTAAGAGAATTATTAATTGATACTGCTTTATTAAATATGATAGGTCGCAAAGCATTTACCTACACATGGGAAATTTCCAACTACGACAGTTGAAATTATGCCAGTTTTTCTGAAACCAAGTGGATTTTTTATTTCTAATCCATCGCTTGGTAAGTGTTAATTTCCCCTTAAAATCACAATCTCATTCAATCACTGATACTTTTTGTTTCGATGAATAGACATTTGTTCCGTAAAAGATACAATGTCTAAAATATGTCGTAATGATACAGAAATAGCCGGTCTCAAAGCAAACCCGGTTGGCAAAAAACCCGGTACACCTGGTTGTCTTTTTGGCTTGGAGGTGTCAAAAATGTCAACTCAATACACAAAGTTGCCACCAAAAAAGCAACTGGGTGTACCGGGTTTTTTGGCAACCGGGTTTGCTTTGAGAAATGGAAAAGTAGCTTAAAATATCATTCTGATACCAGACACATCTTCTTAAAAATTTATTGCAAATACTTGTTGCACTAGGATTCATATAACTCTTTAATAAAGTTAGAAAATGATACACGTTTTTTGAAATCACTTGTACATATATGAAAAGTGATGAAAAGTTTTGTTTGTAATATACATTATATCTTGATAAGGATATGTTAATGATTTATATTTTTAAACCAGGATTTGTTTATGATTTATTATTTTGATCATCGAGAATATGAAATCCAACTATATATATTCTCCAAGTTTTTTTTCCAATGTCTTTCTATCTTGATTTGAATTAGGAAGAACCCTATTAACTTTCTGAAAAACAGATTTGTTGAACATTTGTGACATGAAAGTTGAGATAGAATCCTTTTGGGGGAGGGCCTGATTTGTAAAACTAGCCACAACTTCAAGAAGGGAAACTTCTCTAGGACTCAATATAAATCAACGTGCCCGAGGGTAAAAGTGTGAAACTGGTAATTGGCTGGATTGTAAATAATTTTTGGTAGAGCTATCTCGTTATCTCTCATGACCTCCAATCCTTGAGAACCACGATGAAAAGTTGAAAAAGTTTTAAGATTCCGATGGAATCGTGACTCATGAGGAGCCTGAGCCCTTGATGAACAAAGCAAATTCGACTTCCGCGTTGAATGAAAGAAAGAGCTATGAATGACTCGCAACCAAAACTAAGAAAATTAAAGGAATCTCATGAATGACTTCCAATTACAACAAGGAAAACTGAGGGGATCCCAATGAACGAGTAAGATTTGTCATCTTCAAACTATCTTGATCCTTGCAAATCAGAGTGGTCAGAGATTCAGGCCTTCTCAAGAGTCAATTTTCACAATTTTAGTCACCGACTTATGTACTTCGACTCTTGATTTGAATCGTATCCTCAATCGGATGATGCTATTAGGCAATCAGGACTTCCTGTGGCACCATTCCCTTCACAAAGGTAAAAATCATTAACCAAACCTGAAACACTTTCCGCTTAGGTCTGACCCAAAGAGATCCCTAAAACCTCATATCCTAGCCCGGGGCCGTGCGTATATACAACAAATCTCCCAATTGGATCATAGTCAAGGTCTCAAAGCTTTGCGACACGAGTAGAGTGATGTCTCACTTATTTGGAAACAAAATATGATTCTTGTTATCATCTGATGGGTTGAGAGGTGTTTCCCTCCTTGGCTTTTTGCACGAAGCGTTCATTCCATCAGAAGCATTAAATACATTTATGAGAGTTTGTTTTTCCAATGTATCCGACATCTTTACAAACATTGGTCATTTTCACTCTTCTTTTTCGGTCCACTACAAGATGTAGCAATATTTTCAAACGGGAATTAAAGTCCAGTACGTGTTCATTTACCTTTTCCTCAAATTCATCTTTCTCAATGCTAACTCGAATTGGGTTAATCTGAATGATCCTTTTTTAAAAATTAGATCCCGCAACAGTCTTGGGAGAAGTTTACCTTTATGCGGGGGATAAAGCAACTAATTCATTGACTGTTGATGATTCAAAAATCATCCAAGTACCTCTTCAAGACCTTCAAACTATCAGTAAAAAACAAACACCGAACCTAAATACTCATGGTTTTACTTATGTTTCTCAAAGACGTGTACCCGGAATCGAAAGAATGGTAGAATTCTCTGATGAACACTATTTTGCTTTGAAGGAAGATTCAATTCAGCTTGTAAAGAAATTGTAAGTAAATCTTTACAGAAATGTATCTTCAACCAGAAAATAGAGTGAGGCTCACATTGATTTTTGATATTTAGAACGGGTGCAAAATCGGCCGTTGCTTATGCATCTGTTTATAGAGGTGACAATTCATTAGACTCATTAAAACCAGTTCCAGTGATTCACTCTGACATGTCAGCAAAGGGAGCCGATTTAACGAAAGGCCTTGCACAAGATATCTTTTTGAAATCAGATGATCCAAAGGAAGTTGAATTTGGAAAGCACTTGAAGCTAGGAGGTAAAAACGTTGTAATCTACAATGTTTGGAGACCGATTCGTACAGTTCAAGATAATCCTCTTGGTATTTGCAAATGGAATTCTGTTTTGGAAGAAGATGCTTTGGATTTAGGAATCATCCCAACAGACGTTACAAATGCACCACAGCCATGGAAGTATAGAAAAGGTCAACGTTGGTTTTACTTAAACAAACAGAGACCTGATCAAGTTTATGTATTTATGCAACATGATAGTAGGGCAGGAAAAGATGGACATGGCATGAATGTTCCACATGCTTCATTTTCTTTACGAGGAGATTTTTCTAAAAAACCTACTCGAATGAGTTTTGAATCAGTAGTCTTTGCAATTGTGGATCCAATCCCACCTGAAGGAATTTTTTCAAGATGGGCTAAAGATATTAAATCATTATGGAACGAATGAAGATATTTTTATAGGAGAACATGCATCGTATTTGCATCATTTACCAAAGCTTTATATATCATTTTGTCATCTCTCATACATATAATCCGATACCAACTTAATTAAAATGTAATAGAAAACTAATCTTGGGCTTGATCATGATCACAACATGTTGATCAGAAGGATAAACGCTGAATCACTTCTAGACTCAAACAGTTTTGGCACTCGGAGACATTTGTACTCGGAGACCTTTGTTTCTTTTAGATACTTGTAGCTGGAATTTTTGATAAAAGTTTCTGATACTTATCAAGCTGCCTTAAAACTTCAAGCGAAATCCTCTTATAAAGCTCGTGTTTGTATAAATAAAAGACTTGTGATCGAATCTTTCAAAAAACTACTTCATCAAGAGAATCAAAAGCAAGTCATTAAGTTTTTGAAAATACTTTGGGAGCGGGAGAAAATTAGCACACCTAGGCAAGGTGGACCCGGTCCCACACATCAAATCCAAGAGAATCACTCCAACATATCACCAGTAGGGGTAGAATCGATTAAAGAATAGCAGAAAAGTTGACTGTAAGCAAAAGAATTCAAAAGATATGGCAAAGCTAGACAAAAATCTCTCAGTCTTGTTACGTGGTCAATGTAGGCTTGAATCGACTCAAATCGATCCGGAAGCACTACAATGTGCTTGCAAGTCGATGTTTCTTTCAAGACTTTTGAGTCCCATTGAAAATCGAATTATGTAGCTTCAGTCTCAGATCCAATTAGGTATTCTTGCCTTTCAAACTTTTGGGTCATTTTCTTTGCAAAACTACCTCAAGAATCTTGTATCTTTTAATGTTCTTCACCACTTCAAGTAACTACCCAATGCCTCAGTTTCAAGTACACCAACACACTTATTGTGTTCTCATGTCTACATTTTCTATTTTGGGATGAATTGTGGTTTGAAGAAGCTCTATTTTACATGGTCAACTCGAATGTTCAATCTAGTGTCTGGTGACATGTTTAGTACTTCTTTGCAAACCGGTTGAGGGTGATTTCGCACTCAGATCTGTCAAGTTTATGTGGACTTGAGGAACATGGCAAACTGGTAAATACATAACCGTCTTGAGAATCGAGATCTCGAAATCCACGATCGCCACCCATCCACCGCCAACGGTAGCGGTAAAACACATTCGAGTTTAGCGTGTGCGTTTTTCGTTAGAGTTTAAAAGTTAAATAAACCTAGATTAACGTGAGATTGAGTGTCTTTTTCTGTTTCAAAGATCAAGGAAGATGTTGAAAGACTGGTCGTGAGAAGCAAGCAAGAAATGGTTGAAGTTCACAGTTATGTAGTGTGCGATTCGGTGTTGAGAGAATCTCTCGCGAGGTCGTTTGATGAGATCGACTTCGAACACTTACACCTTCTTCACCGATCGCTTTTAGAAAGTAAACTCTACATTCTAGCAGTAGCAGTAGCATGCGCCTCTTTTGCATCCAGATCTTAAGAAATGATACCGAGTTTGAGCGGTCATCCACTGCACAAGCAGTGATCAAGTCGTGTGAAGCCTGGTAACGTATGGAAGAATTGCAAGTCATAAAGGTGCGGTTGACCATAAGCTGAACTGGTTGACCATCAAATGTATGCATTACGATTTACGAGGTGTGGGGGGATTTTGAGGGGTTCAAGTCTCATTGTCAAGATGAGTTGAAGATGAATGAAAGTCTCTCTGTTTCTCTCAGTGCAGGTGCTGAAGCGTGGAAGTTGAAGAAATGAAGAAAAGTTAAATTCTCAATCTTCACAAGGAAGGTAAGATTTAATGCATACACAGTCACAGTCACAGTCACAGTCACAGTCACCTCGACAAGTCAACTCTCATGAATTTATAAAGAAAGTCAGCCAACAAGTTAAATAAGTAAATGAGCTTTACCCACACCTCAACTGGTCATCAAGTGCATCACTGGAACGCGTTGGAACACTTGAATTTTCACAATCTTCTACCTCGGGTGGGTTCTTTTGATACATAATAAGAATTCATGCGTGAGTAAGCAAGTTCTCACACTCGACTCTCTTGACCTCGCCATCATTTATCGATAGTTTTCTTTTTCCCTAATGTAAAGTGTTCTATTTATCTATGATACTCTGAATTCCTTCAATCAGCTTTGTCCCCTTGGCCTTTACTGAGATCTATTTTTCACTTGATTTAAACTTGTTGTGATCTTTTTTTACTTTGGAATCGGATGACTTGAAGTCTATGATATTTACACTTCTTTACCTACCTTTTAACACTTTATCCTACCTACTTTACCACTTCTTTCTTCAAAACATTCTTCATAAACTAATCAGATTCTCAAGAGTCTGGCTCTCTTTAAAATCATCATATCTTGATCTTGATCTAGATCATATCATTTCTTCACACAGTTTTAGTTACATTATTTTATTTTAGTTGATTTTGTTTGATTTGATTTGAAACTCGATATTTTGAATCAGACTAAAAGCTTTCATCATATAGAAATCTAGTGTTTTGTTTGATTTTGATCACATTCTTTTGATAACAAGATGGTTAATAGTTATGATCAACAACAAGAACCAGTTTTATCTAAATACACTAGTTTTCCAGATCCACCTTCACATTTGAATGGTCCATTGAAGTCTACTACTGTACCACGTAGGACGCGTTCGAGTTATACTTTATCTTCTAACCTAACTTCTTCCCTTTTTAACTCAAATCCAAATTCAAATTCAAACCATCATCATCAACACCACCATCATCAACATCAACATTCTCAAAGCTCATTATCACGTTTTAGTCAAAGATTATTTCGTAGACCATCAACTTCACGTTCTACCTCACCTGATTCAATCTTAACTCCACCTGAAGAAACTTTACCTACTTTACCTATCTTTAAACGATCCAAGTCTCAAACTAGAATTAGGAAATCAAAGGATTACAACAATACCAAACCAAAATCATTTCCTCATATCAAACTACGTCATCTTGATCCAACTATCATTCAAATGGACGACGAATCAGCTGAAAACTTATCAAACGATCCTACTACACCTCGTAATCATACACCTTCAGTTCTTTCTTCTTATTCATTTCATACTCCTATCACCCCTGGTACTCCAATCGAAAAACCTGAATTTCAAACTGAATATGCTCGTCAACTCTTTCGTGATGCAACCAAAGAAACTCATGAAGAATTATCTGCTGAAGCCATGGGTGATGAACAAGAGAAATTGGCTCTTGATACCAAATCACCTTCGAGATATCGTTCAAATTCAAACTTTTCAATCGCTGATACCTCACCTGTTTCAACTCAAGAGCAACATGAACAACCTACTCCTTCTTTACACAAATCTCGTTCAAGTCTATTTCATCACTCAAGGACATTGTCAAACATCTCCTCAAATTCCGTCACACCTAGTCTCAATTTCAACCCGTTTTCAAAACTTGGTGATTTTAGGTCTAGTTTCCGCAAAAAAGGTAAGCTGCCTCCCTTTCTCTTTTTCTCATCGAACACCATCTTACTTACCTCGTTCCTTCAACAGATCACGGTAACAAGGATGGTACTGTTCGAAAAGCTACACGGGTTGTAGCCGATGTCCCTTCTTCTGCTACGATCACTTCAGGTAATCAGCTTTGTGCCACACCTCCGCCTCATGCACCAAGGATCCCGTCTGCAGTCATCAACGATTTCAAGATACACGATCCAATCATGAACACTAAACAATGGGGTCTTCAATCATCTAGTACCCTCAATGACCGACAAACGTCTCCCAGTCAGCCTCCATCCTTGAATAGCACTCGCAACTTGAGTCGAACCATGTCCCTCAAGAACATCCCAACGAGTTCGGTTCGCCAACCATTATCACTGTGTCAGCAAAATACCCATGCTCCGGTTCCTTCTTCTACACCACCAAACCGCATGCTCTCCCGAGTCAAAGTGAGCACTGATCGACAACTATCCCAAAAACACTCGTTTCCCTCTGTGAACACGAATGAAAATGACCCTCTCGTCTCACAGGACCAGGGCACAGTCACGAGACCAATGAGAGCGCGTCGAGCGCCTTGTCAAGCACCTGAATCCGATTTGATGCATCCTCAGCCTTGTGTACGAGATTCGGTGACCCGAGTGGATGGGGATCCTCAACTCTGTCCTTCATCGGCCATGCCCAACGAACGACAGAGAATCCACTCTGGACCTGAGGCTCTTCAAACCCAACCCCTCACGAGCATCTCGCGTCAGCAGCAACGTCAATGCTCCCCTATCATTCACGAAGCTGCGAACGACGTCCGCCGTAACATGGCCCGAGAAGTGATCAACTCCACTCATCTTCCATCTCGCCCGTCACATCAGCGACCTTACCCCGCGGCTAGCCTAGATTCCAATCTTCGCACCGCTTCACGGCAAGCTTATAATCACCATCTGAACAACCAGGACGTGTCCGAAGGTCAATCACAATACGCGGAGCTGGGCCATCATCTATATCAATCTAATGAATACCATCATGATGGTATGCAGTCTTCTCAGCAGCAGCATTCTCAGCGTCGTCCCGAGCTCCGGACGTCTAGATCAATGTATCCGCCGATGCGATATCCAGACAATCTATCTCAAAGCCAAGCTCCAACCTTTGAATCAACTTACTTCCACAATGATTATCAACAACCCGATCCAATGTCATCAAGTCTCGAACAACGCCATACCGATTCAAGATTTCAGACGCCTTTAGTGCAACATAAACACATCAGACAATTTTCGACCGGAGTGATCTCAACGATCCAGCCGCGTCGAATGGAGAATGGAACCGGTAGAGTAAATGGCCCACAATCACTGCGAGCACAAACAAGTCTTGGAATGTACCCTCATGCGAGAAACCAAGCAATGTCTGATGGCGAGGAAGAAGCAGGAGCAGAAGCCGCAGATGAACGATCTGATGAAAACGAATATCGATTAGCATCTCATCATCATGCGCCTCAATCCTTTCAGTCTTCCTCACGACTTCCATCTGCATCCGGTCGCCAGTTTTATGTTCATGAAGACGCAGATTTGAGACCGAACAGTAAACCATCAATGGCTACAACAATACAACATCAAATCCGTCAACCAATACGCAAACCGCCCTCACCTTCCAACGGCTCTACAAGCCCAGACTCAAACTCATCAATCCCACGTCAACCCTTTCCACAGCAACACCCCTCCAGTAGTGATGGCCAGCAACAGAAGCCACAAAAGGCGCCCAAAGACAAAATCATCAGCGTCAAGGGCGTCGATTACATAAGGCAATGTGCGATAGGCAAAGGAGGCAGTTCGAAAGTTTATCGAGCACATTTAAAAGATCATGCCACGAAACAATTTGCTTTGAAAGTAGTTTATTTAGAGAAAGCAGATTCAGCATCAATTGCATCGTTTTGTAATGAGATGGACTTGTTAAAAAGACTGACTGGTCATGAAAGGATCATTCATTTAGAAGATTCACATCTTGATCACGATAAGAAGAGGTTGTATCTTGTGATGGAATTAGGAGAGACTGATTTGAATCAATTATTAAATCGACAAGCTGGTAAGCCGATCAGCTTTAGGTTTATTAAACACATATGGGAACAGGTTAGTTTTTTTATTTCATTACTATCTGTTGTATCTGTCATCTTACCGATTTTTTTTTGAATTTAGATGTTAGAAGCAGTACATGCAGTACATGAAGAAGGCATCATCCATACCGATCTTAAACCGGCCAACTTCGTACTTGTCCAAGGAGCAGTGAAGATTATCGATTTCGGAATCGCTAAAGCTATTCCAGCTGATACGACGAACATCTCCAGAGAAAATCAAATCGGAACCGCTAATTATATGTCACCAGAAGCGTTATCGTTACAAGTGATCTCAAGTGACGATGGATCAGAAGAGAAAAGAGTCAAGATGGGACGTGCCACCGATGTATGGGCCTTAGGATGTATTCTATATCAAATGGTATATGGACGTACACCATTCTCAACACTTGAAACATCATTAAAGATCTGTACGATCAAAGATCCTAAACATTATATAGATTATCCCGAAAGTGTGACCCCAGTTTCGATGAAGATCAATAAGAATGGAGAACGAATCAAAGAGATTGAAGAAGGATCTAAAGTGATCGTAGAGAAAGAAGCCATTGAGACTATGAAGGCTTGTTTGAGATTTAAGAAAGATGATCGAGCTTCGATTCCTCAATTATTGAATGATCGATTCTTGGTGGGAAAAGATGGGATTTGGTTTAATCCAGAAGGTAAAGAAGAAACTAGTTGAGTCGAGCATTTGTTTTTTTTTTTCGTTTTCTCTCTCTCTCTCTCTCTCTCTTGATGACCAAAAGAACCAGTACTGAATTTGTTTTTTGCTGGTTTGTTTTAGTTTCAATGAATGAAAAGATGTTTCATAGTTTGATTAACAAGGCTTGGGAATGGAAATCAACTAAAGGAATCAATGCAACAGATGCACAGAAAAAGCGATTTATCAATGTACGTCAACATTTCCTTGACTGATTTCTTCTTCCGAATCAAACAAAAGAGAATCCCATTGAACTGATCTGAGACTTCTTTTTTCTTGGGGTTATTTGATTTATATATAGGGTTTGAAAGAATCAGTAATGAATGCTCAATAATTATTTCTCCTTGAGTTTTTTTGGGCGGTTTATCTTTAATCTTGATTGTATTATCAACTATTTTCTTTCCCTTATCTTTGCCTCGCTGCCTCTCTCTCTCTTTGTTGTTTCCAAAAAAAATGCATAGTATTTTTTATTTTTTTTGTCTTTTTTTCATGATTCTTTATTTTTGATTCTTTTTTGGGTTTTATATTTAATTTGATTTTTTCATTCTTTTTGATGTTTTCTTGCATTACTCTTTTTTGATTTTGATTTTCTTTATTAAACACTTATGTATGTTTTGATATATTCTTGAATTTGATTGGAAGCAAAAGAAAGATTTCTTTAGTAAACTTATTTATAACAATGACCGGTTTTTTGTTGAGTAAAGAATGAGGTGTGAGTTGGTTTACATATAAAGAGTGGATTTGAGGGTTTAGGTATGATACTTTGAAGTTAGTATAACTACTATGAGGTTCAGGTTTATGCAATGAAAGGGATTTTACAAGTTTAGCTGATTTTTAAGGGGTCTAATCCTTGGCCTGCTTGTCACAGTCTACAGCTTGATGCTTACAAGTATTTGACAAAGTTTGTTTGACTTTTGTCATTGTAGTTTGTTGAACTTGAGGCTTGCGTAGAGATCGAAAACTGATGAGATCAAACTGCAAAAAGAATTGTAATGAATTTCTGATGCAGAAGATTCTGAAGGGTGAAAGATCCAATCCGATTCCAATGATCAAGCTGTTTCTTTGTCAAACTCTTGTTGGTCTTCAAATTTGTACTCACAATCTACCTAAAAGCTGGAAAACAGTCAAAGGATGAGGGATGTTTGATCGATCATCAGATTCAAAGATTCATCGGGTCAAAAATCGCTTAAAGTGTCACATATTGTGAAACATATAGCTCATGAATGTCACGTGTTTTGTTGTAGAACGGAGAGATCAGGAGACGAAGGGCTGCATACCAGTTTGTAATAGAAATCAACTTCAACCACATCACCCATCAATCAAACAGAAAGACTTATCAACTTCAATTCCAGTAAGCAGTTCTCCATTCCTCATATCTTTCCATCACACCGTTCAATCATTGATACGTTTTGGTACATCGACTTCGATCTGTGTTATAGTCAATCATCAAATCCATCATGCCAATCGCACCCATCACTGGAAAACTACGCAAGCGACTCTTACTTGATCTCACAGTTTCTCTAGGACTGGGAACTGCTGGTGCCTACGCTTGGTGGTACGTGATCTTCATTTTCAGTAAGATTTGATCTTACTATGATATCTGATGCTATGTTCATTCTTTTTTGTAGGTATGGATACCATGTACCTAAAAGTCAGTTCAATCTTTCATGACCATCTCGTTACCCAAATCTTTTCAAAGCTTACCCTTTTGTGATGATGTAACTTATAGTGCGTCATGCTGAAAACGTTTATGCTAAACTGAATGCAGCGAGAGCAGAAGAAGCAGAGTAAACATACACTATAAAACCCATATATGTTGAAAAGATGTCAATGAGCAATGAAATCCTTTCGATCATCTCCTTCAGTTCTCTCTATGAAGAATTCTTGAACGTCTATTTTTTTTATAAATTTTTGGGTCAATCTTGATCATCTATTTCATATTCGTCTCAAGCTTTAGATTTGTATGATCAAGAATTTTTTGATGATCTTTTTGGTTGAAGGTTCGTTTTGGAAGAGGTAGAGTGGTATCGTCAGATGAGGGTTACTTGATCATGAGCACCGTATAAGATTTGATTTACATAGAACTAAACATTTCGTACCCGCGAATCAGGTTTTTTCTGGGATCTTGTGGAACTCATCATCTCATTTGATAAGTCATGAAGAAGATCGAGGTCTCTAAACACATTTTCTTTTACTAAGCATGAAATGCCACAATGGATCTCCAAACTGTTTGGATTTGTTCCATAATTGACGTTCTTTCTAGTGAAATAACTTGATTTGACTTCATGAACTTAAAGGCGATAATCAAGAGAGATGGATTTCTTCATGAGGTCTCATTGACCAGTTTAATAAAATCAATTCTCTCTCTACTCTGATTCTCTGATCATGTTTATGAACTTCATTACAGTGTCATACTGTCAAAAGAAGCTTGGCCACCTGTTCAAGTTGTGAAACTAAAATCCTAGTAAAACAAAACAAACAATCACATCTTCCTATTGTCCAATCTCATTTTCTTCCTACTCAATCCACATCCAAAAGTCTAAAGTAGGGTCAGAAAATATCAAAGTCATGGGCATCAGAAGCTTTCAAGATGGGTTTACTTTGGACATACTCTGATATTGGTTTTTTGAAAATCACATTACAATTATTTGAGTCATACCACTGGTGAAGCCTAGAGGAAGTATGTGAAAGTCAATAAGAGTTAACTTGCTTAATTTATTTTACTTACACTATGTAGATGATGTGTTTCTCTATGGTGAAAAATGATTACATTCATGGAAAAAAATTGATTGACAAAAGATAGTACCTGGAATTAAGGGCTCAGTTTTGGTCCAAATTGCTTGAAAAATAAATCTGGGGAGAGATACAATAGGGGTACACAAACATTAAAACCCAACCTAAAAACCCATGCTAAAAAAGCCATGACTACCCATCTAATCTTTGGACTTGTTTTGGACAGGTTTTTTGAATTGGGTTGTCCTGAGATGTTTTAGAGCCCCAACCAACATTGGCCTCCTCAAAAATGCCAAGAGTCTCAGGCCACAGGCAGCTCTTATTTAACACCATTATTGTATCTCATCTATTGTTTCTGACAACAACCACAACTTCACCCCTCACCCCATCTTTCCTTCCAAACTTGGTTGCCTGCTTAATGCTTGTATCCTTCATGATTTCCAACAATCATAACAATTTGGACAAAAATCTCAAATCTCAAGGACATATCCTCATAGTTGTTTATATAGTCATGCTGCTATGTGCCATGAACCAGAGTACCTTCATAAACTGTCAGGGTGGCACTTACTCTAAAAAGTGAAGGGTATCCTTTTAAGGGATGATCCTGACAAAATCCTACTGGGTACGTAGGACTGGTAATATTCTTCAATTCTAGTTGCAAGTTTCAGGTGGAAGGGAACTAATCAGTCTGGTGTCTTGATTCCAGAGAATTTAGTAGTTCTCTGAACTCCTGACGGGTGTCACGGCCTACTGCTTATAAAGCAGAGCTGGATTGGTCAGATCCTAGACCACAAAATATTCTCAAAGGTTATTACCTGAGAGATGCCTGGGCGTAGAAATAACCACAGGGATCTTGACAATGTTGGGTTGCAAGAACAATGGTACATGACCAAGTAGAGTTTTACTGTCTCAAAACAGGGGCAGTAAAAGGGAAAAAGCAGTTACTCACTTTGGGATAACACTGGTTGACTCTTCTTAGGTCTTTTGGGTTTGTTTTCAAAAGGACGAGTGGAACTACTTCTTGGGTTTAGTTAAGAGGATAGCTGGACTGTGAAAAGCTTTTAAAAGGACGTTTTGAAAATCACAATGGTAAAAGAAGGTGTGTCCTGTTCTTGGGTTGAAGTTCACTCTGCTTTTATAGCTTCTTGGTTGATCAGGCCAACTTGTGGTTTCTGTCTCCTGCTTCCCCTCATATGGATGCTAGTCTGTGGCTGGTTTGTGGTTCTGACGCTTTGGGAAAAAGGTGTCCCTTTTCATTCAGAAGGTAGGGCTTTTTGTAGAGGTAACTTCTGTTCAATATTCAATATTCCCTTTAGGCTCTTAGTTTGAGCGGCCAGTGGGCACTTGCTCTCCTTTTGTTATCCTTTTGCAAATGTTTCTATCAGGATGCCTGTGCAATGTATGTTTATGTACATTTCTTAAGCAGTAGTTTGTCTTTGAAACTCAGACGTAAGGTGTGTTATGATTGTGATGGTATTGAGTTTGTCTTTGATGCTAGACGCAAGGTGTTTTCATGTGTTTTTTTTTGTGTTTTTTATTTATATAGTTTTGAGGCTCTATGGCTTTGACTTTGTCAAAGCTCAGGGCTGACATAAACCATTGCAAGCAAAAATTTGAAGAAAATGGAGCAAATCTTGCAAGTCTGTTGATGATGTGAGCCAAAGCCCACAGGAAAAGATACCCTTTTCCTAGATATTTCCAGCCTGTTGTAGTTTGAAGGCACAGATTTTTCAAGGATGATTTGAAGAGACTGATTGCACTTGGCTAACAGCTGTAAGTAAAACAGATCTACTTCTTCCAATCAGATTGTATTGAAATAAGATCATATCATCTCCAAATTGTTTTAGGCACATACACCAAAAGCTGATTTTACAAAACTACTCCACAAGATAGGATCAAGTGATGTATTTCAAACTAATTTTTTTTGTCATCAGGCACCGCCCCAGTGACAGCTACTGGTTGCATTGGCAAATTTATGAATTTCAGGAACTGGAGGAGTGTGTCCTATCAAGACAAAGTGGTTCTCTTTGGCATGTGAGTCTAAGATCTTGTGTATTGCCATGATCTCTTGGACTGACTATTTGTCTTATGAAAGAGGGTAGTGTTGCCATTTACACAAACAGATGCATCTGTGTAACTTTTGAATTGGAGTTGGAATGTCTACAATGGCCAAATACATATGAGCAAGAATGAATTAAGAAATGTATTGACAGCTCTGCATGATTTCAAGATTCTATCGGTTTCATAGACGGCACTTTGGTACCTTTAGTCTCAGCTCCATAGAACAATAAGGAAGATGATTACACAACAAAGTTAATATATGTGTCAAGTTCTCTTATCATATGAAATGATCAGCAAAGAGTATCATGATATGCTCATCATGGTTGGTGTGGAAGTGCACACAATCAAAGGGTGTTGAAGTTAACTTGTGTACATAATTCTTTTCTCTTTCTCTCCCTCTTAGTACATTCAAACTGATAGAAGAACTTTGGTTCTACCAGTAAATGTCCTCTTACTGTTCAGAAGCAGAGTACATTCTGGAGGACCCTGGCTATGCTTCAAATTAACATCTTGTGCCAGTGTTCAAACAATCACAATCTGGTGGCCTTCCACCAGCTCAAACTCACTTCAAAAACTCCATCTCCAATATTTGAATGACATCCAGCTGGAAGGATCACTGTCAGCCCTGAGCCCTGATTACACAACCACGGGCTAACAGTAACACATGTAATATTATATTATTGTATAAATCCATAAGTACATCTCAAGGCTCAGTGTCAAGAGCCACATAAACACATGTACATAATGTATTGAATACATAACAAACCTGTCCCAAGTGCCAACCACAAGTTGATGCTTGACCTGTGAATATATAAACCCTCCTTCTTCCCTTGATTCATCCCCCATCTTTTTACATATCACAACATTAGAATCACATTATACTTGAAATCCTATAGAGAGGATCCTTGAGTACATGATTAGTTGTGTAGTCTAAAGACCAAACTTGAGCATCACGGGTTCTATTGCTGAGCACCCCGTTATTGATTTCTACAAGCCTTGGGCCATCATATCCTCTAGAAATAAACCGTAAAGCAGCAAAGCTTCCTCCCTTATACGGAGTCTCAAGTAGCCTTCAGGATCTTTGGTTCACCAAAGTGTAAAGCCTGTCCCTTGCAGTCTCACAAGGTTAGAGTGTATCAGCTCTTTACTGCCCTTAATCCCTTTCTCTCTTCCTCAAATCCTATTCTTAGAGGTCAACTAGCTGTAGTCTTCATTTGGGTGTACCACGTGAAGACCACACTTTATCTTTCTCATCACCTTCTTAGTGAAGAGTACACCTAACAGACACCCACTCCTCACAATCACCAATGGTAGGCTTTGGAAGTAACAACACCCTTGAAGCTATAGATGAAACTACCCACTCAGATTTCAGGTAGGCCAATATGCAATCTGTTGGCATCCAAAACTGTGATCCTCAATTCACCAATTTTGGTATTGCAAAGGTTTATTGAGTTGAAAAGAAGATTGAGTTGGATATCTTTAAGAAATCTTGTACTGAAAAAGGTTATCAATTTGGATATTTTTTCATAAAGTTCAGAGATGTATTGACAGTGGGGGAGACTGGTGGTAGATGTTGCTTTTTGGAGATATCAACAGTGGGGGAGGTTTGTGGTAGAGGTTGCTTCTTAGTGAGATTACCAAAAAGTGAGGCATTAATACTTTGACTCAAACTTAAATCATTTTGTAAATAGGGATTGACGGGTTCTGTCAGCCAGGGCATAAGTAACCTAAGTAACTTATCTCCTGGCTAACATACAAAGACCTTAATACCACATGCAAACACATAAGAACTACACTAGAATGCTCATACTAAGTAAGATTCTTCCTTTCTCATAATATTTCATGAGTATTCTTTATTCTTTTCAATTCATACATTGTTTAAGTTCTATACATACTTTTTTTTAATCTTAATGAGTAATCAGGAGTCATGTGAAAGTGGTACTGAATTAATTACGGAAGTTATAAACTCCTGAAGGAAGTATGAGTTTCCAGTTCTGATTCTTGATTTGGAGTGATGACCCAACTCAAGTCTCAATACATCAGCTAAAACCTGCCAGATAACAACATAAGGGGATTTTTGTCTGACGGTCTGGGAATTTGTATAACCGGATTGGGTGAATAACAAACTTGGTTATTGGACAACACTTGAGAGGAGGAATTATTGGGTTTGAGGAAAAGCTTGATTTGAATTACACAAATTAGTCATGACGGCGGAATTCCTAAAAGGTGTGTCATACCTATGTAAAACAATTAATAATATTACAAATATCTGTGTGGGCTTTTGGAGTTGGAATAGGTATAAAAACCTTGTTGATTTTCTACTTTCTTTTTGTTCCTTATCTTTTAATCAATCATTTTAATCAAACATTAGTTTACAACTGATTCCAAGCTACCACCGCGTCAATATTACTCCAATTACTTTTTAGATTGATCTTTAAAACCTCTTTGGTTAGTAATAGTCATGCTCTGCGCTTCCGCCTTTGTCACACCCTTGTTTGGTTATTAGTTGTTAGATCAACTTTCAAACTGTTCTGAACATTTTATTGTTCCACTTACCAGTTCAATAAGCATGCTTGTTGACAGGTTCTTCTCAAGTATAATATACTGTGCTGTTGTTTGAGGTCTGAGGGGGCTGATTGTTGTTCACTTTGGTGAAAGAAGCCAAGCCCTGAACTTGATGACCTGCTAGTGAGTCCATGAACGCCAATGGATTGGCTGACAGTCAGTCTCACGCGACAGCCTTACCATGTAGATCCCCGTAGTATTCTCACTAAAGCAAAGAAAAAATCTGTGAGTTGAAACTTACATAGCTACCTAAATCAATGTACCATGAAGAGGTTCACCATAATAATATACTTTTTTATCACCTTTTTTCTTCACCAAACTTTAGATCTAACATTTTGTTCTTCAAGACTATGAACTCAATGTTTTCACAGTCTTCATCTAGATCTCCCTCCCCAGTAGCAAATTTGATGTGGTTAGACCCCCGGAATCACCCTTCAATCTTGGAGAGCTATGTATAACAAAAACAGTAGTCATCTTTTCATCTCATGTCATACAAACAAAACCCACTGACTTTATTTTTGTATTCTTGACCTGATCTCATTACACAACCCTTGCTTATAACAAGAAAGTCTTTCATAGACTACATTGTTTGGTTTTGGTGTGCCAGTCATTGTAATTTTCATATACACTACACCATTTCACAGCAAGATCTATGTCAGACTTGCCATTGCTGTCTGGTGTGAACCAGCAAACCTAGGCTTGTTGATGTTGGTGTCTTCATTGTTATCATTGTGAGTATTTTGAGTAGCACCTTGAGTTTGAGATTCACTCTGAGATTCACTTTGTGTTTCACAAGAGATGGATCTTGAGATTGAGCTACATGGATAGATGAAAATAATTCAGTAGGCTTTTGAAAAGAAGCTTTTCAAGCTTTTTGAGAAGACAGCTGAGAGGCTGCTGGATATTGAGGTCATCCTTGTGGCTTCTTAGGTGTGTCAGGACTGGCCATCAAGGCTGTAGGATAGTTGGCTGATTTGTGATGGTGGTCTTTAGACATGGGGTCAAAACTCTTGTTTTCTAGGATGGGTGGCCTAAGCCAATATCTGCCCAATTGAAGAACCCTATCCAAAAGAACCCAAAAATTAGATGGGTAGTCATGGTTTTTTTGCATGGGTTTCTAGGTTTGGTTTTAATTTTTGTGTACCCCTAATGCTCTTTGTCCAAGAACATTTTTTCTCAAGCCTTTTGATCACAGCAACTTGGCAAGCAATTCATGTGGTTGTTCATTCTCAAAGCAGTTCAATTTTTTTAAAAAAAATCAGGAGAGATCAGAAATGCACTTTGTGATATGTGGTGGTTTTTTTGATTTGTTGGTGCCTTTGTCTTGGATAGAAAGGTGGGACATATATACAAAGTTTCCCAATATTTTTGCAGTTTTATATCAATTTTTGTAAATATCCTTTTGTATCACAGTCATGTCAAACATTCAGGTGTCAACAAAGGAAATGTATATAGACCTGTTGTCAGACCATGGGAATGCTCAATCAATCTATGACCTTAATCACAATAAGACACATCAAGACAGATTCATCAACTTTGCCTTGCACCAAACACTGTTTTAAAGGTGTGGGATGTACAAATCCAAGATGAATTGTTTGTTTTTGATTTTGAAAACAATAAAACCCATATTCTCTTGGACAAAATAAAAAAAATAAAAAGTAGGAAGAATGAAAGGAAAAAAATCAGATCAGATAACCAAAAAAACAAAACGTCAAAACAGTTGTACCAAAGTGGAATATCTGTGTGTATATAGTTCAAACCAAAGATGCCCTCTCTCCAAAAGCCTCAAGATCATAAGTCAAACAGAGACAAAAAAAATATGTATCCAGAGTGAGTGACGCTGAGATAAGTCTGCAGGTACAATCAAATCATATCATTTCTTTTGACTTTGACTTTGATCTCCTTACCCATCCATCCAGTAAGACATTAAAAACAATTATATAGAACAAGTTTAAGATTCAAATCCCTCCCATGACCATGCATCCTCCAAAAGATGTTTCTCTCCAAACTCTTGCTTACAAGATCTCTTCATCTTCATCTTTGATTTCACTTGGTTTCAAGATACCAGGAACAGCTGCTTGCTCTTGAGCCTTAGCAGCTGCCAACGCTTCCTTATCATCTTGGAATAAATCATGATGTTGTCCGTCGCTGGTACCCGAGTGTTCACGCAAAGAGATCAAAAAGTCTCGTAGGTTGCCTTTGAACCTGGCGACGTCTCCATATGATTCGGAGCAACCAGTGATAAATTGCTGAATGATGAGCCTGTATCAAGGGAAAACATTCAAAATTCAAGATCACGATACTCGAGACAAGCTAAAAGTAAATGGAGACTCAACGGTTGTACATGGGGGAAAGCAGCGCTCAGTAGGTTCAAAGTATACTCTTTTAGGAACCTCGAGTTGTCCATACTTGGATCATGTTCGGCAGGGATAAAGAGTGGACCAGCAATCGCATTGGTTTCAACCAGAGCCCACATCCTGGACAGAACTTGGGATTGTCCCTTGAAGCCTAAGAAAAAGGATCCGTAAACAAATGATTCTATTGAAACTACGTTAGTAATGGTATCCTGGTGCTTACCACTCTTGTGATCGGCATCTGTGAGAACAAAGAAGATATCACGAAGGATACCGATGTAGTATTGTTGAAAGAATGCAGCCGCAGTTTGTGGATCCGTCTGCTGGGAAACATTGGCAAAAAGCTCCAATAATATGCTAAGGTTCAACGCACAATACGTTTTAGCTTCTGGTAAAAATTTACACTAAAGGAAAAGGCAGAATTACTGACGCAAGACCAACATCAGCAATGTCACGAGTGATATGCTTGATAGCCCATATGACACTATCCATCATCAACTTAAACCTAGCAGGCTCTAACGCCAATAAGGCTACAATGTAACAAGTGAAATCCATCAGCTTCACAGTTTTCCAAGCAAACAACCAAAAGACTTACCACTAAAGCATCCAGCATTGATAGCCCGCAATAATTTGAAGAACCCAATACGATGTTCTGGAAATTCCGAAAAGTCTTGGTTGATCATGGTAAGGGTAGGCTCAAAGACAAGTTCAAGGATTGCCGCAACCTTTCCGGTCAGTAAAGTCTGTTACAAAAGAGGAGATAGTTAGTCTACTGGAGGTAATTACGATTTGCATGAAACAGAAGATAGACTGACCCCTAACCGGGTGACGATCGTGGAAACTACATTCAAGACTTCTGCATCTCTTGCGGCCGGGATGTTGCGATTGTAATCTCCCAAGACTGCCTCCAAGAGCGGAGGGAGAAGTGTATCGTTCAAGGCGTTGAGATCTTCAGCGCGCCGGATATGGGTATCGACGAGTTTGAGGATCTCCTTTTTGATTGTCCTGAGACCACGAACTTTGGGAGTTTTCGTCGCGATGATCCCTTCAAGGGCTACTGTCTCGCTGATGATCCCAGATACTGCTTTATAGAGGCCGAGCATGTCCATGTAGATACGAACAATTTGAGGTTGGAAAAAAGGACCAATGGAGACACAAGCAGAGACATTGCATTTCAGGATGTTAGAGAGCAGTTTGATGTTCTCTGGGTTTGCTAATACATCCACGCTGGCAGCGGATTGTTGCATCAAGCGATCCCACTACAAGCCCAAGCGAGTCGAGAGGTCAGAGTTCATAACTACACCAATCTAGGTTTGTTTATAGAATATGATGATGGGACAAAGGCTCACGGCTGTGTTGGGCGTTCGCATAAGTCCTGCAATCAAGCGCTCTTGGACTGGTCGATTTGGTTGGGCAGCAATCATATGACCGACGGCTTCGTAGAAAGTATGGGTCTAGGCAAGGCAATGCGGTTTCAGTAAGCGTTGAATGTGGGGTAGTAGAGCAACTAACCTGTTGAGATGACAGATCCTCAGTGATCTTGTCTAGATTTCGGATAATCTCGTCCACAAAGGGTTCTGTTTCGCCGGCTTGCTGTTGGATAAAATGTCTCCGACACTTTTGAGCAATTTTGATGAACGTATCGCAGGCCATATCCTGTACACCTGATAATTGAAAGTAGATGAAGTGATCGAGTCAATTGATGTCGTTGGATTCCAAGATCAAAATTCACGAGACCAACCTTCATGAGTCTCGTGCATAAACTCAAACAGCTTGTTCACAACTGTTTTGAGAAACTTCCAATGCGCTTTCAAAAATCGAGGATACTGGCCGACAATGTACATGATATCAGAGGCCACAATGGCTTTATTGTCCTTTCCTCGCTTGAGTTCTGTCAAGCCAAGTAAATCCTTGATGACAGTGACCAAGAATCGCTTTTCGGATTCTTCATCTGTCCGATTACAAAGGTAATATGGAGGAACATTGATGTTCAGCTTGACATGACACCCACAAAACTCATCCTATACTCAAGAAGACTTACTCATCGCCCCTGATATGGATCCAATGGCCCAGCACAATGTGTTACAATTGTTCCACGACCATTCCGTGCCATCAACTTGGTGAGCTAGCTTGGTCAGCATGATGTCTTCGGTATCGGGTACCTGCCGTCAAAACAGATATCATTACAAGCTCCAACTGCCAGCGCTGGACAGAAAACAAAGAAGACGTACATCTAAATGAGTCAAGTAGACCAACACCTCCCGCATGGCCTTGTATAGCACAATGGTGTCTGTTTCTTTCAAAAACTCACGAACTACTTCACCTTCATCATTCTCCACAACCAAAACCTACAAATTGGTGAAGTCCATAGTTTAGCCACACCAGATAGTGATGAGCGTGCCTTTGAGAGTTGAAAGAAGAAAGTACAAATAGACATACTTCTTCAGGTTTCACCATCTTCTCGATGAAAACTAGCCTCAAATTACTGCAAACTTCACGATATAGTAATTTTCTTCCTTGCATCTCACCACCTCCGAAATGAGAGCCATTACCACCGCCGCTTCCACCCAAATTTAAGCCAATACCCATCAAGGGCCCCATATCGGTCGGGATAGATTGTTGTTCATCATAAAGCTCCTTCACTAATTTTGACCAGTACTCCAAGCAGACTTTGAACAATTCACGATCGTCGACTTGCGAGATTTTGACCAGATACATATGAACATTAACCCTAAGACAGTTGATGATATGAAGAACGCGAGTAAGCTGGGATGCCTGATGTGCAGAGGAATTATATATGTAGCTCACATCAGGTCATGTTGTGGAGCAACCTCTAACAATTTAGCATTCTTGAACAAGAAACTGCACAAGAAAACAGCCAGTGCCATGACAAATTCTTGCTCGTATTGTGGCTGGTTGTCCCACATTGCCTTCAAATCTGTGGCAGGTGGTAAGATTCGATTGACGGATGACATCACCATTGTCAAAAGTAGAACAAATTTTGCATCGTACTCCGGCCCCGCGTCACGTATACAACCAATTTCAGCGAGACATCTAAGAGTGATGTTACGGTATTGTCGCTCTTCAAGATACTAGTGAAGTGAATCAACGAGGCAGACACGGCGCATACATAGTCAATCAACAAATATAACGATGCATGATTTTTGTGCATTGAGTGAGCTTACCTTGTTGATCAGGTGATCGATCAGGCTGGTTTCAAAAATGTATCCCAGGGGAATCCAATTAAGGAATCTCAAAAGAGTATGAAGGGTAGCACTGATCAAGCTAGGTTTCGTGGCCTTTTCCAAAATTTCGCTACAAAACAAAGGACTTCAACTTCAAGTTGATCACAAAAAGGGGAAGAAAGACTACGGACTTGCAAAGCTGAAATACATCCGCAAACTCATTACAGAGTTGATTTTTCATGGCTTTTGTCTTGGCTTGAGTCATTTGCTCAGCGCTAAAATCGAAAATCTCTTCGGACAGTAATTTCAAGATCACCATGTTGTTCTCGCATAATGAAAGTGAAGTCCGGGACGAAGCGATAATTTCAGGTATGAAACCTGGCCAGTTATGTGGCCACTCTTGCTTGAGAATCTAAACACAGACAATGTCAAGAGGGATCAGCAAATCGCGTGATGGGGGATTTCCCGAGGTGAAATGACATGTAGCTGACCTGTACCAAGATTAGATTCATTTTATTGATAAAGCCTTTGTCCTTACGCATAAGGACATCATCGCGCGTCATTTTCACAATATATCCTACGATAAAGTTCTGGTCATGAGAATGAGAATTGTCAGTCGGACGTCCTCAAACTCAAATGTTGGTCAAAGACCATTGAAATCTGCATACTTTGATACCGGATCGCTGAGGTTCTGGTAAAGCCTTCCATCTCGTCGTAATCAACTGGGTTACCAATACATCAGCCTCTTTCACAGGATACAAGGGAAGCCTCTAAGACAAGGCAAGCGTACTTTATCCATGATCTGTAAGGCAATGTACTATGGCATTACACAAAATATACATAAATCCAAGTCAGTAGGTGATATGTTCCACAATTTGCAAGCGCGACGTGTGGATAGAAGTATTTGATTATATCCATAACACCGCCACTCTTCATGTAAGGATTTTTGGTATTGGTGATGAGAAAACTTACTTTAGCTTGCTGAGAGTTGCTTGACTCCAAGATGATGGGGACTTTCTGCCAGGCATCGGGTTGTTCTTGAAACTGCGTGAGGATCGTCATGGCTTCTTTTTGTTGTGGTCCTTGGGTGTTGAAAGCCGCCTCGACGACTTGATCGATTAGGCCAGGGTCCGCGGCTGGGTTTAAGAGTTCTTCCATCTCGTACAAGGTATAGCTTGACACAGAATGGACAGTTGTCGTGCGAAAGAAAAGCCTTTGAAGCGTGTTTGAAGACGCTTCAATGGGAAAAAGACAAATTCACATTTGAATGAGATATGGTATACATCAGTCGTCTTGGATCTAGGAACAAAAGCAAGTCAAATCTCCGAGTCGGCTCACTTGAACGTGTGACGATATTAAGAAGAGATGCAGGTCGGATTCCACAGGTCGCAAGATGTGAAAGGCTTAAATCAAGTTCCGAAGTTCGTACGTGATAAGGAAGACTGAAATCCTCGTATGGTTTTCAGAAAGCGGATAAAAGGAGACTTGCTCGAGGGAAGTGATGAGAATTGAATGATCCTTCTTTTACGATTATTCAGCACAGTCCCTTCAGGATGCCGATAACTGTGAGAATGGAGGTAGATATATTTGAGTAAGAGATAAGAAAGACCAGAGTTTGATGATAAAGATGAAACTGATAAAGTTCTTGGTTCTTTGATCGTGTCCGTTGTTCTTCTTTGATGACCTGTTTGAAGAACAGAAGAACGATCGAAGCTGTTTACATACATGTTACATACGCATCTCCACATAACTTAACGCCATAAAACAACATAAGCACATACACCTAACATGGCTCAAGCCTCAGGCATTTTCAAGAATTCACCATCAGAACAGTTGAGCTCTTGAACAAATTGCATAGATCTCAATGCTGCTCCACGTGTATTCCTTCAGTAAGTAATGGAATTAAAAAGAAAATTGTGTTTTCCAAACTCACAGAAAAACTAAAAATATGGGGGGAAATGGATGGTATGGGATCAAGGACAACAAACAGATATACGAGGTTTTATCCGTGCTTTCCACTCATTTCATGCTTTCTGTGAATGCAAGTTGATGTTTGGGTATAATAATTTAATACTCTCATCTTGAGAAGTTGAAGAATGTAAAACAAAATAACCCAAGTACATAGATCTGTACATGCCTTCTCTTTCCCTCAAGGAGGATAACGCACAGTATTACTTATGCAAAGGTCTCATCAAGTTTATCATATGTATTTATTCAAACATTGATCATCTTCGTATTATCCAAAAAGGTGTGTGAAAAGAGCTTTCTTTTCTGAACAGGTGTCAGATTTCCAACTATACCAGTGCAGCGGGAATTTGTTATCCATAGCTTGATCCACGTTTCAGGCATGCATCAAGGTTTATAGGCCCTAGATGTGGATTTCTCTGTTCCAATAGCTCATCTTCCAGATAAGTTGATAATATTGACTAGAAAGGCCCTTTGACCTATCAAAAAGAAAAGGTTTGAAGAATTGAATCAAACTGCCGAAACCTAGTTGATATAGCAAGATAGTGACCCAAATAGCCAGCTGTTATCTCATCCAAATTTACGGTACTCAAAACAATCAGGTTCGTGCCACCTTTTTCAAAAAATGTCAAAAACATAGATTCAAAGTTGATCTTTTGGCGGGGGAATTCCTGGGAATTCGCTGGAACTTTTTTTTTGGATTTTTCTACAGTTCATTTTCCCCACAAAAACGATATTTTGAAAGCAGGTTTTCAAGAAAGGTAGCACAAACCTGATTGTTTTGAGTACCGTAATTCTATCTAGCCTTTGGTGTAGTATATCATGTATGGTTTGCAATACTTTTATTTACAAATAACTAATTGAAACTCTTCTTTCAAAGTTCTTCATCAGCAAAAGGATCCAGAGTTGGAAAATCACCAATCGTCACTCTTTCAGGTTGAACAAATGTACCATGAGAAGCTTGACAACTGAAATATCTTACTCCCATCACTGATCCATCATTCTTTCCATCCTAATGTGAGCAAGAAGAATTTGTTTTATAAGATAATAATAATCATGATCTAAACAACAAAATGTCAAAAAAAAGAAGAATATCTTACTGGTTCATCTAACTCAATTCCAACCCAAAAAGCATGAGTTTTATTAAACTCAACAGGTCCTACAAACCGTATCGTACCTCTTGATGCAGATGTTCCGTTTGATCCAGACACTTCACATCTCGAACCCAAAGGAAAAAGTATCTTGAAATCTTCTTCGACCTCTTCAAAATCTTTTTTTTCACTTTCATTCTCTTTAACTTCGTCCGCAAATCTTCCCAATTTGTTACGTTCTTTAAAAGCTCTAAGAGTATCTACAAAAAAAATTAAAGAATTCATGTTATCAAATCAATCTCTTGACTTTTTACAACAGTTTTGATCAAACTCACCACGTCTTTTAGCATATTCCTCTGGACTGATCTCAAATTTTTCTACCCCACTTACATCGTTATACTGACCTGCTTTAGAAGCAGATGTAGGATCTGTATCAATCACCTAAACAAAATCAGATTGATGACAGTCACTTCTTGACACGTCTTTCCAATAAGTAAAAGAATAAAGATTTAGCCCAAGCCATAAAGAGATCATAACTCACATCTATGGTTGAACCCTCTTGAACTCCGTATTCTAATAATGTACGATTATCATCGTCCAGGAAAATAGAATGAGTGGCGTGGGATTGACCGGGAACGAGGTTAAGAGCTACTTTTTGAGAGTTGATTGGAATTCCTGTGATCGGCTCTAATTTTGTCTGATGGATTCGAACACAGATAGTCAGGACTCAGGTCATGATGGTCGTAACAGAGTCTCAATCTATAAATTCTCAGGATGCAGTTTGTGGTTTTTAGCTGACCTTTAGTTGTGAGATGAGGAGATGAGGGGACAGCCTACGCTCTGAGTAGGAATCGGTCGATGAGATCCAAACTGTGACCAACTTTGTGCTCATCATGATATGGGATGGATTCGGAAAATTGATGTGTTCAAACCCTCGGGAAATGTGAGAGGTCAGCTCAGTGAGTACGCCGACACCGGGTCGGGTTATTACATCATCAAACACCGAGATGTATGCGGGCAAGGAGCTTAAGTTCATGCCTGCTCACTGCTCAGGCGCGTCCAGGCCGTTGGCGTCAGATGTAGGAAAGGATTGATTGGCAATGATAACAATGTAACACTCTCCAGGTATTCTCAGACAATAGCACACCTTCATTTCCTCGCCGCATACACCATCATGGAAACTATAATGACTATGTCAAAGAAAATAATATGGATATGTAGAATCAAGGAATACAACTTGATCACGATTTTTTTAGTTTACAGCGAGAAGAGCTCAATGCGGTAGAGAAAAAAAACAACCACAAAAAAAAAGAAAACCATATTGAAAGGAAGAATGACCGTTAAAACAAATAAACCGTAATGAAATATGAAAAAATAAAGTCAATGATTTTAAGGAATCATTTGCTCGAAGAGTATTTCGTGACACCCTCTGCAATAGATAGTGAGAAAGAGATTGGTCAACAAGGGGTTTCAAGGTGCTGGGAAATCGAGGAGGAAGTGACTTACTGGTTCCTTCAGAGATGGCGTGTTTTGAGAGTTCACCAGGGAGAATGAGTCGAACAGCGGTTTGGATCTGGGAGCGATAAGAGATAATCAAGTCAGTCAAAGATCAAGGTAATGAACAAGCCAAGTCGATCATGGCTTACCTCTCGAGATGAGATTGTCGATTTCTTGTTGTACTGTGCAAGTTTGGAAGCCTCACCAGCAATACGTTCGAAGATATCGTTGACAAACGAGTTGAGAATCAACATGGCCTTGTTGGAGATACCAGTGTCGGGATGAACTTGTTTGAGAACCTTGTAAATGTAAATACCACTATATATAAAATAGATATCGTCAGTGTCTCGATTTAGCAAAAGAAGTTAGAATGGTAAACTGACTAGGTTTCTTTTCGCTTTGTTCGTCGCTTCTTCTTGTCACCTTCGGCAGCTGGCTTAGGAGCCTTCTTGCCGGCCTTCTTGTCGGAAGCAGGGGCTTTGCTGGCAGGAGCTTTGGATGCGGTAGAAGCAGGCTTCTTTTCAGCGGCAGTAGATTTTGGTGGCATTCTGGAGTGTGGTTTTGAGGTAAAGGTGAGGAAAATTTTTTTAGTGAGTTGGTAATGTAAAGTTGAAGTGAGTAGACGACGGTGGAAGGATGTGGTGATGGGGGCAATTGATCGCAGGTTACACTATCTTATATATAGGTGAGGCAGAGGTGATGAGGAAACGAAAGACAAGGTCAACGAGAGTCAACGACTGAAGTGCGGGCAGGTGGGTGAAACGCGTCGTCGCGCTCATGAGATCGACGCGTGATACCAAATTCGAGTTGACAACTCGGGCGCGCACTCTAGCCTACAGGCTCCTCGTCGGACGCGTCCGCGCTTAATTTCACGCGTTCTGATTGGTTGGGCTCCTTTCGTCCATAGCAACTCATTCATGCGTGGTCATGAATTGGCAATTCGGGTCACCCATTGGACGCCATGGCCCATCAGGTAGACTGCCTCAGCATCACGTCTGGATGCATCTAGCAGTAGCACCTCATCAGTCTTTAAACTCACTGACTCGGTATACCATGGTATAAATACTCCCACAATCTTGTCTCATCCGTCTTCGCACTCCCTCACTCAACCACACACCAAAGCACTTTACATTTTACAACTTCAACACCTCCTTCACCTCAACTTTTTCTAAAACCCTTCAACTCTCCTAAAACAAAATGTCTTCCGGTGGTAAAGGTGGCAAAGCCGGTGGTGAAAAATCTACCTCTCAATCTCGTTCTGCCAAAGCCGGTCTACAATTCCCTGTTGGTCGTATCCACCGACTCTTACGAAAAGGTCACTATGCTCAACGAGTAGGAGCTGGAGCACCTGGTATGTTCTTCCTCCCCTACGACACTCTAGCCTATTTGGCTATACTGATCCTCATCTTTCATCTATAGTTTACCTCGCCGCTGTTCTTGAGTACCTAGCAGCCGAAATTCTTGAGTTGGCTGGTAATGCTGCTCGGGATAACAAGAAATCTCGAATTATTCCTCGTCACCTTCAACTTGCCATTCGAGTAAGCTGTTTTCTTGACTTAGAAATTTGTTTTGACCTAAATGCTAATCTACTTTTCTCATCAGAACGATGAAGAATTGAACCGACTCCTTGGCCACGTTGTTATCTCACAGGGTGGTGTTCTTCCTCACAGTAAGTTTTGCCTCTATCTTACAACTTCAACTTCTGGTTATCTGACTCATATCTTTCTATCTTATAGTTCACGGTGAACTCCTACCGGCAAAATCAAAGACTGCCACACCCAAAGCTGGCAAAGCTTCACATCAAGATGTGCTCCGAAACCGAAAATCCGTCGGATACTCGACGGAGCATCCGACGGTTCCGGATGTCGGATGAGGCCTTGGAGCTATCCGGTTCCCGGATACTCCGGCCGGTTCGGTTATCGGATGAGGGGGTCAGAAAATGCGATATCCGTCGGATATCCGGCGGATATTTGCATATCATTGCAGTCTCAGGTAGCCGTGTGTTTACATCAATTTAAGGAAAAATATTGAATAAAAAGGGAAACAAGATGATAAAAAAAATAAAAACTAATCACTATCATCCTCAGCATCACGGCTAGGTTTCAAAGGGCCAAACACCCGATGCCAATCTTTCACACACAAGAGAGCCTCAACGTGTAAGGACGCGAGATTAGTACGCTGAGGCCCCAAGATCCTTTTTGTCTTGTTAAAAATCCCCTCCGACGGACAGCTAGTTGCTGGAATGGCAAGGAAGGTCATGGCCATTTTTGCCAATGCAGGATACATATCGCTACCACGTTTTTTCCAAAAATCTAGGACCTTAGTGTCGCGGGATTCGAGTTTATCGTTGAGATATTGAGTGATCTCCGCACTGATCGAATGGTCCTGTGGAGCGTCTGGGGCACCAAAAATAGCGTCTTCGAAGTACTCGGAAGTAGACGTTGCAGTGGATTTCCTGGTGGTAGTTGGAGTGGGCATTGAATCATCGACTTCATATTTCAAGGCCTCTAGTTCAAATGTTGACCTGATGTCTGAAGTAAAGAGGTCGTACTCAGAAAAAAACATGGATCGTTCCTTTTGGTAAATGAGACATACTTCCTGATCAGTACAACCTCAAAGTAAGATGAGTATTAAGAAACTCACTTGAAAATAGCTCATTATGAGGCGTGGATCCAGGAGGGTAGCACAGACTGGCGCAGGTTTAGTAAGGACTTTCTTGAAGTAGTCTTCAAGTTTTGAGATCATGTTTTTAGACGCGGGTTGAAGTTGATCGTGATCGTATTGATGGCGTACCTAGATGTACATTAAGTCACATTAGCCAATTATAATTAATGTGTATTTAAAATCAAAAAGATACAAATACTTACTAATCTTAATTTTTGCAAGATTGCAACATACAAAGGAACAACTTGATGCATTGTTGGATACTTTGACTTACAGAGTATGTCAGTTGCTTCGCTCAGAGGTTCCAAGAAGTTGCACATTTGTTTGACGTAATCCCACTCGAGCCCGGAGAGCGCATACTTTTTGTACTCGTTTTGCAGGCAGAATTCATCACATGCTTCTCGTAGACGCAAAAGTCTTCGAAACATGTGATATGAAGAGTTCCATCTGGTGGGAACATCGACAATCAGGCGAGTTGCAGTTTCAGCCGGGTTTGTTTTTGGGGGTGGTTGAACATTGTCGACAGTAGGATCATCTAATAGATAATCGAGAGCCTCAGTGTCAGCAGGATCAGAATTATCAGTATCAGGGTCGGCTTGGGCTGATGGAGGATTCGCAGCTGGATTTCTTTGAGGCTGAGGATTGTTTCTTGAAATCTGATTCTTCTTCGCAGCAGCAGCAATAGCACGCTTGAGCTTGACAATATCAGCGAAATGTTGACCACGTTGAGGGCTGGACCGAGTACAAGTAACTAGACCATGGCATCGATTGTAGATGGTCTTGAGGTTTACTTGAGTCACGTCGGGTGGGTCGACAAGGTTGTTAATATCCATTAAGTTTGATGAATCTTGCTCTTCGTCCTCGTCGAGAATTTCACCAAAAACCTTCAGTCCCTCTTTTGCAGCTAGGTTGATAACGTGCGCCACGCAACCATGGACTTGTTTCGTGTGATCGAAAGTGATACCATCTGAATTTGAAAGGACTCGACCTATAGCAGCGTTTGTACCTACATTATCGGCAGTCATCGCACACAACTTATCGGTAAGTTCATACTTGGTAAGATATTCGATGATTAAACCGGCAAAGTTATCGGCGTTGTGTGCACCTGGAAGATTGGGTGTCAGTCAGCTTGAGTTGATCAGATCGATAGAAAACAAGATACACTCACCTTTGATTTCCGCAATGCCAAGAGTCAGGTCCATAAGTTCCCAGTTCTCCGTTATAAAGTGACCAGTGAGCGACATAAACGGCTTATTATTTGGAGACGTCCATGCGTCTTGAGTAATGGCGATTGCTTTGCAAGGTCCTAAGAAAAGTTTCTTGATATGATCTTCATGATGATAATAAAGTCTGCGCATATGTTTAGAAATTGCATGTCGTCCGACAAGCATTCCTTTTACTTCAGGATTGACAAGCTTCAATAATCTTCGGAAGGATTCTTTCTCAACGATTGAGAAGGCGAGGTCGTTATCGGCGATGAGATAACATATACTAGTCTTGAGGTTGGAAACATCAAGTATATCCTAACAGTTTTTCGAATCAAAAGAACATGAACATCAGCTATTGTCGATGTGTTCTGGAGTAAGAAGACAAAAAGACTCGCCATGTGAACTGATTTCATCTTCTTGAAACCTGCAGTCAAGCTTCCTTGTCTTCCATCGATTGGACCGTCATCGCGGAGATTATGCTTGAAAGTGAGGTGGTTCTTCATCGAAGTAGTACTTCCTTTATGATCGCGTTTCAACTTCGTGCCACATTCTTTTCCATCCCTCATGACGTAACGACACTGATTGATATCTGAGTTTTCTAATCTTTTAAAATATTTCCATACGTAACTTTTTCGAGTTGACTGAGATTCCGTCGTATCGGAGCTATCGGCATGGGACAAATCAATTGTGGTTGAAGTGGGGGCTTCGGACATGTTGATCAATTGATTTAAGGTTGATTAATTGAAGTGAGAAGGTCGTTTGCGCGGTGATAAGTGGATTTCTCAGACAATTGTAAGGTTTGAGGTGGTGGGGAAGATGATCGAAAACGCCCTTTTCTCTTTTTTTTTATTTTTTTTTTTTTTTGGCTGTACCGGCCGGATATCCTCACAGTAAGTTTTGCCTCTATCTTACAACTTCAACTTCTGGTTATCTGACTCATATCTTTCTATCTTATAGTTCACGTCGGATGGAGCCGACCACGCCGGATATTGACCGGAGCACATCTTGAGCTTCACAAGAAGTCTAGACTCTTGTCATGTGCTCGATTCTTGTTTCTTTGCTTGTACCTTTTCATTTTCTTAGTTTTATAGTTGTTTTTCTTTGGAAATGAGTGTTGTACTTCTGGCTTTTCATTACTCGGCTATTCATGATCATTGGGTTCTAATTGAATAACGCTTTCAAACACATTTGCCGTATCCGCCACATTCTTCTTTGATATCACATTGGAGCTTTTGTTAGACCCCTAAGCGATTGATCTTTAGCCTCGAGAGATCAAAGTAAATATCGCCTGCTAGCCTAATCTTACACAGCTGGCCACAAGCCAATTAGGCTGCATTAAAACAGATTAAAACATAACCATAACGAGTCTTCGCGTCGTGACTCATGAAAGCCTCGACCGTCACGCTGAGGACCCATCTCACTTCGCTTCGAGCAGCCTTCGACACATCATCCACTGAGGATTATGATGCACAAAATGAGAAAGCATGCGACATGAAGTGAACAAAAGCTTACTCTGGCCATCATGAATAAAATGACGTCACAACCTTGACCATGAAGCCTTTGAATCAAATCACAAAAAAGTGACCATCGCCAACAAGAGAGAAAAGATGAAAAATGATATGTAGGCTTTCGATTTTCTCAACCTCATGACATCAACATGCATGAACTCTTGAGCTTTACGTCATTCAACTGACCCTGCACCGGTAGCTATAGGCGTCATGAACGTGGGCGTAATTGATAAACAATAAAATCAATTGAAGCGATCAAAAACGCATTTATGTTGACTAACGTAAAGGACCGTTTTATGATTTGAAGAAGGCTTTGAAAAGTCCAATTGTATTTTGATCATGATGACCAAGAGCGGGGAGATTAAAACTTATGAAGAGCTGCCTGAGGCGGAAATTAAAGATGAAGATGAGCTCAATTGTTCACCTTAGGCTTCACCTTCACCTTTACCCCATACACTTGAACGTTTTTATTTGTGAAGGTTTTCTTTTCCCCCTTTTTTTTGGTGTACGCACGCCTAAATTAGGAAATGTCTATCTAAATCAACTTGTTGAGGTAGGGTTTACAAAGATGATAGGACAACGTTTCATTCTTTAAAGAAATTTATGATTAACTTTTAAAGAAGTCCGTTGTACCAAATCTTCAAAGTCTTTTTTTATTAAGGTAAAGGGTTTACTTTAATGATGATCTGTTTTTTAGGATCAATTTTTTTTACAAAGATCTCTTTGGAAGGAGGTTTTTGAGGGCATTTTATGATTTGAAGGATGTGTGGAATCGTTAGCCAAAGTGGCCAAGGCAAGTGTGAATTCATCCAAATAAATTGATCAAAACAAATGTATGTATAGATTTGACTTCATGACGCCTTAACTAAATCTTGGGCGGTACGGCTTTGATTGAAAGGGTCTGATTAAGATGATGTAGTAAGGCTCATTTGTGCTCATATAGAGAATTCAATCGAATAGGACAAGTGAATGAGTTTGGAAAATGGTTTATGTTTCTTTGATGATGAAGTTTGATCAGGGAATCACAATTAGATCTGTGTGTATCGCAGCTAATCTGCAAGAAATAGTAAGTTGAGCCAAGTAGGCTTTAAACTTCAGTTGTTATTAGTATGGGGTAGTTGCTGCAAGGAGGTGCCGTGGTGGGTTTAACGATGACATATTTGATCAGCTGACTTAGTCAATCGAATGATGATGTGATACATCATAGAAAGACCAAAAGAGGAAGTTGAACATCATACGACTGTCATCGTTCGTTTGTTCGTTCGTTCCTCAAGACTTTCTAGAACCCACTGCAAGCTTTCCATTAGAATTTTTCACCTCGGCAGCCTTTTGAGGGTGAACTGACCGGTGATAATCAAAAAAAATAAAGAAATCTATGTATGTATGCATCATGTATGTATGCATTTCTTTGTTGTTCACCCGCCTCACTCCGCTTCTCTTGCGCCTCTGTAAAAAACCCCCCGGGGCGACTTTTAGTTGTTGAATGGTTGATTGGTTAACATTCTGCTGGGTTTGCTTTGAGTAGGGATTGGGATATGCTATTGAATTGAGATGGGGTTTGTGTAAATCAAGAAGAAATCGACCGAGTCTTGAGGTTCTTGACTGTCATACTTGATACTTTTGGTTTTCTCCTTTTATGGAATTCTTGAGTTGATCAGCTCATTTGATCAAATCAAATCAAATCAAATCAAACTTGATCAGCTTTAATGATTTCATTTCTCAACCTCACTTCTGATTCTCATCAAACCCTCAGCATAACAAGTTCTAACACTCCGCGCTCAGACTCTCACTCTCTCTAGAGTTCAGATTATAAAACTCATCCCATCTTCCTCACATCCTTCATTCCTTCCATCCCATCATCTTTTAATATCACCACATTTCTACTCGGATCATTTCCCTCATCTTGACCTTGATCACTACAATGATGGCTCAAGTACTTCATATGAATGCTGAGGTTACTTCCACTTCGCTTCCTCAATCATATGATACACTCATGACATTGAAAGCCGATCAAACTATTCGAACATCAGACAATCTAAACAATCTAATTCTTTCTATAATCAATCCTCTTCTCAACATACACTCTAGAATAACAGCTTCATATTCTGATCATCAATCATCCTTCACATTTACTGAGGTAGACCCTATTGATACTGTTAATGAAGGACTTGATCAACTTTTATCGATCTTAAACCTTTTGGATAATGATTTCATTCGACCTACTCATAAGCTTTCAAAGTCTCTCAAGAGCCTTCGTCATCGACTTGATTCACTTGAAGAAACTTCTAAAATCTCATCAACTCAAACTGAAACTAAATCGTAAGTTACTCACAATTATCTTCTTTCTTTTCATGATGGAAATGGCTTTTAACTGATTTTGAAAATTGTCATTATATTTTTGTGAAAACTTTTGTAGAATTCGTCAAATCTCAAAACAAAGTTTATGTTTAGTCAAAAGATTAATGAACCAAACTAGAGTAATACGACAAGTTTTAAAAGATTTCATATGTTGGGCAGATACTGAATTGATGGCAAGTTTAGCAAGTTCTAAACCGATCTTACAATCAACTTATCAAGACTCAAACCCACAAGAAACCCATCATGATCAAGAAATGCAAATAGATGAAGAGTTTTATAATTTGATTGATCAATGTGTAGATATCATTCAATCTACTTATCAACTGAATCTATTTTTAAGAAAACTTCAACATCAATTTCATGAATTAATTCCTACTTTAGGATCACTTACGAATTTATTAATTATCAATCATAAAAGATCTCTTCAATTAAACCTGATCAGAAATCATCAAATTGATAAAAATCGTCATCAAAAAGATAAAAGATTGGATAGTAGGTTTGTTAGAGTTAGTTCGAATTTGGTGTGCAAGTTTTTAAAGTCTATTGATCCTACTTGTTTGGTTACTGTTCATCGTTTAATGAAGAGATTGGAATCTTCTTTAGACCAAAGAAGATAATCTATGTGTTATTTACTTCATCTTTCTATTACCCTTTTCTTATCTCTATCTGATTCTCTTTTTCTGGGAGCGGAAACTCATTCAAATATACAAACAAATCATAAAACCTCTTACTAAACTTTCAACCTTTTTCAAGTCCAACTCTTATGTTTAAGTTTTCTTTAGAAACTTTTATAGATCTGTAGTATCATTTCATTTATTTGGTTTTCATACATGTGTATTTACTAGAATTATGTATCTTTTCTTTTGCCTTTTTTCTTTGGACATTTCAGGTTTAGATTCAATATATTGCAGTTTTTTTTTGTGGAAATCAGAATAAAGAACTTCACTTTTTTTCTGAAATGTGTTAATCAATGCATATATTCAAAGCTGTTTTATTCAGAACAGGATTGAAGAAGAGAGACTGATAATAAATTCCTTTCATGAGTTTTACCCTCGTCTTTGAATCCCTGTCATATCATCACACCTTTTGATATGACTTCGAGTTCAAGTATGATAAAGTGAATCAAAACCTCATCAAATCTGGAAGTTGCATCTCAACTTCACGGCCAAATCACTCACATCTGACCCTTTTATAAAGGATGACTAATTTCAATTCATTTGGTCTTCCAAGCCAATTTTCTCACCTTTACTTGATACACAAGTCTTCCAGTTTTACATAGGTTGGTGAAACAGATCTTAAATGGTCCATACTCCCTTTTAGAATTTTATGATCACTAATAAACCCTTGGTCGTCCATATTGTACACGTGGTCTTGTTAATCTACAGTCATTCCAGTTTTGCTTGTTGTTAAGGCCTCGGTGTGGGGTTCTCGGCGGGGATCAAGGTTGGGTGTCTAATAAGCTATGCAGATTGTCGTATGAAGAAGAAAGAGAAAAGACAACTGTGGTTTGTACAACATAGTCTAATCTCGTGTCTGTGACATCTACTACCCGGTATTTCACTAACAGTTACATGTCTCTTGAGGATCGTAACATTATCCCCCTTTTTACGCCCAAACTCCCTCTTGCAAGTTCTGCGTTCCTTCCACGGGCAGCGTTAAAAAACCCAGTGGGAAAAAGCTTGCCCTCTCTCATTTTCTCCTTGTCCTTTTGTATTTACTTGCTGCATTTGGGAATTTGATGTTGAATTCATTCACTAAATCTTTGCTATTTGATAAATTTTCCTCAGGTTCCCATGAATTGTGTTCAGTTCCAAACCCTTTCCAGCTGACTAAATATTCCTTCTTCCTATACCTTTTTCTACAGTCTAATATTTCTAATACTTCCCATTCTTCATTTCCTTCCATGATTGTTGGCTGCGGTTCGGATTCCTGACGACCTTCAATACCGTCTGTTTCGTGTTTCCTAAGTAGAGAGACATGGAATACTGGGTGTATACCCCTCATTGACGTAGGTAAAGTCAGCTCATATGCGGATCTTGATATTTTCTTGGAGATGTTAAAAGGACCCATCCACTTATGATCTAATTTAGGACTAGGCCTTGTCGTCGAAAGGTTCTTGTTGTTGAGCCAAACCTGGTCGCCAATCTTCCAATCGGGGGTTGAGCGGATGCCCTTGTCGAACTGAATTTTCATCTCTTCCTGTGCTGTCTTCAAACACTCAGTCAGTTCCGATTGTACATTGATTAGTTCTGTCAGTCTTTTCTCTACTGAAGGTATACATTGTTCTGCGGAGGGGATACCACTGAAACTATGATTATACCCATAGTTTGCTTTGAACGGCGAGACTCCTGTCGAAGCGTGGTCCTTGTATTTGTACAAGAATTCGGCGATTGGTAAGAGAGTCTCCCAGTTGTCCTGTCGGTAGTTGACAAAGTGTCGAAGGTACTGCTCTACAACTTTGTTGACAATTTCGGACTGACCATCGGTGCGCGGGTGGTATGCTGTGGAAGGTTGTAATTGAATGCCTAGTCTCTTATCCAGTTCCTTTGTGATCTGAGAAATGAAGATGCTCCCTCTATCCGATGTGATAGTTCTGGGGGTGCCATGTAATTTCCATACAAATTTCACCATTAAGTCTGCTAATGTTTCTGCTGTCATGGATTCGTTGCATCGAATAAAATGGCTCATTTTCGTGAGGCGATCGACTACTGTGAGTATACTGTCTTTTCCGTTGGAAAGTGGCAGTCCGGTAATCAAATCGTAGCTGATGTCGACCCATGGTCCCGCTGGTACTGGTAGAGGCTGGAGAGATCCAAATGGCTTTTGAGTACTTGATTTGTTTCGTAGGCAAGAATCACATCCATCTACATATTTGTTTGTGTACGCTTTCTGGCTTGGCCACGTGAAGCTTCTCTTCACTAAACTAAGTGTCTTCGCCCTGCCCGGGTGTCCCGCTAGTAGACTATCGTGGCGACTGCGTAGGATTTGGCGTTTGATCTCGTTGCTGTTTGGCACTTTGATTCGCCCTTGATTATACACTATTCCATCATGTACTCTATAGTTGGCCGTTTTTTGACGTATTGCTGTAGATATGGGATTGGAAATTGCTTGTATAAGTTCCTTCAGTCTTGGATCATCATTAGTAGTCTTTCTGATTAGGCCTATGATATCTTCGTCGTTGAGGATGGGGTCGGTTGGTGTCTCATTGTTTACTCCCAAGACATCTACTTCGAACCAATGCTCTGCATCTGGTAGTTCAATCTCCTCGTTCTCAAAACAAGATTCAATACTTGCAACCTCGGGTTGAAAAGTGTCGGGTGTGATGTTTTCCGGTCTAAGCAGTTGACCAAAAGTTAATTTTTTGTCATGAGTTGGCGCTAGGTCTGGTCTTCTTGACAGTGCATCTGGTTTAGCGGCTTGTTGTCCTGGGCGGAATTTAATTTGAAAATCAAAGCATCCTAGAGTCTCGGCCCATCTAGCTTGGCGTCGGGTTAATTGTTTGGTAGTCATGAATGATTCAAGATTGCGGTGGTCCGTATATACTATGACGTCCAATCTATTCGGGTTTCCTTCTAAGTAGTGCCTCCACTCTTTAAAAGACGCCACAATAGCAAGGAGTTCCTTATCAAATATTTCATAATTCCGTTCCGCCTGTGCCAATGATCTGGATAAGTATGCAACTGGATGTAGTTCATTGTCGTCCTCGCTGATTTGGGATAGTACGGCGCCAATTGCAAAATCGGAACAGTCACATTCCAGTACAAAAGGTTTGTACGGATTTGCAATCTTCAAAACCGGTGCTGACGTGAAAGCATTCTTCAATTCTTCAAATGATTTCTTGCACTCGTCATCCCATAAGTAAGGCGTTTTATGGCGTGTCAGATTATGCAGGGGTCTGGTTGTCTGTGAGAAATGGCTGATGAATCTTCGATAAAAATTTGCAAATCCAATGAATCGTTGGAGCTCGGTGACGTTTCTTGGGGCTGGCCACTCGGATACGGCTCTTACTTTAGTAGGATCCATCTTGATCTTGTTGCGTGATATGACCAGGCCTAAGTACTCGACTTCTGATTTTGAGAATTCGCACTTCTCTGGTTTAAGCCATAGTTGGTGTTTATCAAGGATCTCTAGTATCTGTAATACAACATTTTCGTGCCGCACCCCCTTTTTTGTATAGATCATAATATCGTCTAAAAAGGCAGCCGCGTCTTTTCCAATATGTTGGAGCAGTATGTCTTGCATGAAATACTGGAAGTATCCAGGAGCTCCCGTTGGTCCAAAAGGCATTGTCAGGGGGGCAAACTGACCTGCTCTGCAGATGAAGGCGAGTTTATCCTCGTCTCCTTCAGCTACTCGTAGGTTACCGTATGCATTCCGTAAGTCCAGTTTGGTGTACTTGTCAGCGTCGAGGAGGCTGTCCACCAGATCCATGGTTAAGGGCAGCGGATATTTGTTCTTAACCGTCACGGCGTTCAGTTTACGGTAGTCGAAGCAGGGTCTTAGATTTCCATCTTTTTTCCCGGTGAAGAGCACCGGAGCTGCCCAGGGTGAGGTTGTACGTCTGATAGTACCATTTGCCAGGCCAGTGTTTATCATTTTGTCTAAAGTCTGAGTTTCAGCTGGGGATAATGGTATTATCCTGCTAGCTTGAGGTTGCGCTCCTTCTACCAGCTCTACTTTGAAGTCATATTTTCTTCGAGGTGGTAGGCATTGAGCATTGGATTTCTGAAACATGCGGATATACCGATGATAAGCTGTTGGTACTAGCTCTTCCACTGATTTAGTGGGTATGTTCTTTTTTTCATCGGCTGCTAGACGAGCAGAAGTCGACCACGAGGCTTTCAAGGAGCTGATTTCAGTGGGACTGTTATTTAGGGAAAGAAAAGGCTTGCCAGCTGATACGGGGGATGGGTTGAGATGAGACGAGTCGAACTCACATTGCGGGGGCTTATGTGTACTTTTTACAATACACGCCCCCTTGTCATGTTGCCTTGCGTGCCCTGTGGGCTCCTCCAGTGGACCTTCAGGGTTATGTTTCGGCGTAGACGAGGCTGGATCATCAGCCGCAATGCAGTCTCCTTCAGTTTGAGTCTTGATGTCGGGCGTTAACAGGTTAGAGTGTGTAATCGTGCCTTCGGTGAGGTTGTATTTGTTGTTTGTCGTACTGGATTCTAGCTGTTGTAGAAGAGAATCATGCTTGCCAACACCTTCGGGTGAATCTGATTGAGGTAATAGATTAAAAGACTCACTCTGCGGGGATGTTAACGTGTTATCAGTAACACACATCCCCTCGTCACGGTACCTAGCGTCCCTCGGGTGTTCCAACTTGGGATCCTTGGAGGGTTTTGATGGTCCAGACGACTCCACTACTGTGGAGGCAGCAAAAACATTAGCTGTGGTGATGATACCACTACTCCAGTCAATCCTGTGACTGTTCGCGCGGATCCATGGAATGCCTAGGATACTGTCATACGTATTCTTAAGGTCGGTGATGATGAAGTTGGTGGGTTGGGTGTCGCGTTCGAGGTAGAGGTCCAGTTCATGTGAAGATCTTGATCTTGAACCATTGAATCCTGTGATGTCGCGTGAAGTGCTCACTCCTAGGTGTAAGATATCGGCTTTTCTTGCAAATGATTCTCCCAACACATTGTGGGTGGCACCTGAATCAATCAGGAGGCGGGCTGATGGGTAATACGATGGTGTGGCGCGTGGATTTTGGGTCAGGGAAAAGGTAACTGAGAGGAATAAGCGTGGGTCGCTCGTATTGCAAGTTACAACAGTGCTAGTTCCTAGAGCTATTGAAGCACCCAAATCCATACTGCTCAAGCTAGGCACAACCGTCAAGCTTGAGCGCCTCCATTTTTTGAAACATCACTACGACTAGAACCCTCTGCCCGATCCTTCACTTCATTCCTACTATCATTCAAAGCAGCTAGCTTCACCTCTAAATCAGCAATGCGACTACTGTAACCCCCATTTCCTCTTCCTCTACGATCACCCGTTCTACCAGGACAAGCATTGGCACGGTGGCCTCGTGCAGCACATTTGAAACAAGCACCAGTACGTAAACGATGAGATCGTTCTTCATCGGATAGTCGAGTAAACGAAGATGAGATGTCCATCGCATTGGGGTCTCAAGCTGGTGTTGATACAGTGGTCGAAGTGTCTGCTGTACCGTGGATTTTGTTGTCCAGTTTGATCGCGAGGTTGGCTATTTGCTCTACTGAAGTGAACTCATCTTGAACTAGTACCATAGCTACTCTTATGTCTCGTTTCAGGCCTTGTTCAAACTGGCTGATCAGTGTAGGCACTTCCCAGCCTGTGTTAGCAGCGTGTAAGTTAAACTCATAGGTGTACGCTGCGACAGTGGATTTCTGGGTAAGGGATCGTAATGCCTTCTCCGCCTTCGACTTCTTTTCGGTGTCGAAATACATCGCTTTAAAGTTACGCACGAACCGGTCAAACGTGACTAAATGGGCAGTGGAGTCGTCAAGTAACTCTGTCATCATCGGTTGGGCCCATGAACTCGCAGTACCCGTGAGGTATGATAGCGCGAATACGACCTTAGTACGGTCGGTGGGGAATAGATGAGGGTGTGCCAACATATACAGTTGGACTTGGCTGGCAAAGACTTCAGCTGGGCCACCTCGATTGCCATCAAACTTGTCGGGCGTGGCGACCTTAGGCCCTTTGGGATTTGGGGTCGTCTCGTGTTGTGGCACTGTAGGAGGTGCTGCATTCCCCGCATTAGTGAAGGTATGCGAAGTAGTGTTACGAGAAGACTCGATAGCGGCTAATCGCTCTTCCGCCTGTCTACTGCGGGCTTCGGCTTGTTCTCGAAGGCGACGTTCTCCGGCTAATGAATTCTGGAGTTCAGTTAACTGACGCTGGATTTCCTCCATCTCATCGACCGTAAGTTCAGTGACAGGTGGTGCTTGGTTGGTGTTGACAAAGGATTCCTCACGATCACTATCCGGATCGTCGTCGTCGAGCAAGGGAGATCTGTATGAGGGAGACGTGATCGATAGAGTTCTGCGGAGGTAGTTCGGTGTTAATCTTCAGTGGTGCATTCAATATCAAGTATAAAGTTTCAGTTCAATGATTTTCTAAATATGATCTAATCTATCCTTCTTGTTGTTTCTAATCTTATTCGAGTTCAATTTCAATTCTTAAAGTTTCTGATTCTAGTTCTTCTGATCTGTTGATGCCCGCTTGTTGTAGATACGACAATATGTTAAGGCCTTGGTGTGGGGTTCTCGGCGGGGATCAAGGTTGGGTGTCTAATAAGCTATGCAGATTGTTGTATGAAGAAGAAAGAGAAAAGACAACTGTGGTTTGTACAACATAGTCTAATCTCGTGTCTGTGACATCTACTACCCGGTATTTCACTAACAGTTACATGTCTCTTGAGGATCGTAACATCACACAGCCAAAAAAACCTCTTTAGTCATAAGCCCCTCTTTCAAGTGCACGGCCGCAGCCGCGCGAGGGGCTTAGTTAAGCTAAGACTGAAACGGATAAACCAATCCGTCAATGTCGTTGACATCGCTCATCCGGAACTTCACGTACAATTCTTTGATTCCGGACTGTCCAATCCATTCCGGACCCATCATCCATTCCGGGAACTTCCAACCCATCGGAGCCTCTGTTAAGCGCCAATCTTTCCACACCCGGACGTATCACCACATGGTAGTTCAATGTCAATGAGCTTGGATGTTGGATGTGGACTGTGCCACATCAAAGCTCAAATATTACCTTCCATACCACGCACGGTAAGACATATAATCAGCGCGCAATGGTGCCAATCGCTCCAATTTTGGATAGACCATGCACATTCCATTCATTAGCTCAGATTCACTATTGTGCGTTCATTGAACAAAATATTAGTAATTTAAACAAACCGCGCGGCCTCACACCACGTCCTCTCAGGAATTTATGATGGTGTTACCGTACTTGGTACCACTCACAGGGGCCAAAATTGATGCTCACAACTATGTGAGTGTTGTAGACTTTCCTGAAAACTTCAAAAAAGATTCATTTTGTCTCAGAATCATTCAATTCATGAGTTTGGTAGTGTTCAGGCAATCAGGCTGTTTTGCTCAGATTTTGCTTGGCATTGCTGGATAATGCTCATTTTCATCTTGGATGAGCATTCTGTGGGATCAGTCTCTGAGATGAGTATTCAGGATCCGCTCATGAGGCATACTCAGAACATCTCAGAACCTCTCCAACATGAAAACAAAACATTTTTTTTCACCACCCTTCCCAATAGATGTCAGCACTACACCACCAATTTACCCCGCTTTTGTTGAAATTTGGTTTGCGGGGTACCCAAGAATCACAGCCGGAACCCGGCTCAAATTCCATGGGTTTTTCAGCAGAGACCTTGGGTTTTTAGTTCTCCAACAGCAATATTGAATCAGCGGTTACAGACTCTATAGAAGATAGAACCACCAAACTGTCCATTGCCTTTGACTCCAATCCATCATCATCAAACTAATCGTTCTTCATTTGATTTTAATCTTTGACTTTATTCAATTCAACTTCACTTTGATTAAAAAAACATTCATCTTCTCCTCATCATCATCGACTAAACTCTTATTCACTTTCAAGTTGGACAAAGATTGCAGAAGCAATATTCTCTGAGGTCTATAGTTGGTTGCCTGAAAAATGCTCTGATTCAGCCAATTTAGGTGCAAAAGCGCATGAAGCTTTTGTGATGAAGTTAGTTCCAATAAAGAGATCAAAATCCCATAGTCAACAAAGACATGCGACCAAGATGACTGATCAAAACTATGATAGTCGGGTTGGAATTGAAGCTGACAAGTTTCCATGCAAAACAGAATGGGCCGATGTTGAAAAGGAGGTCAAGTTGTCATGCCTCTTAGGTTCTGAATCTGAGAAAGGCTTTCTCAATTTTTGTGGGTAAGCATTTGTCAGTCACCCCTTTGCCACCCGATGAGACACTACACTTTTCCAGTACCAGTATTGATCATACTATCTTTCATACTATCTTTTTATTTGATCGTCTGCAGTGCATTTGTTGGCTCTGGAGCATACCCGCCTGTCTTACTCAAGGAATGGAAGAGCTATCAAGAACGTTGTCCTGATAAAGTGTACAATCCAAGTCCAGGTGAATATAAGGGTTTATCAGACATTGAGTTGTAGCGGATTTTATTCATTTTATGGTTAACGCTAACAGTATATTCATCTACCAGGTAAATTTTCTCGGCGGCAGCTGTATTGCTGTATGCTATCTGGCCAAGCTGGCAAAGATCTTGAGAGTCTTGATCTCATAAACTGGCAGGAGGCTATAAGTGTGTTCTCCCAGGTGGCTCATACATTGAGTCGAGCTGAGAGGGATCATGAGTTTGAGGTAAGGAATCTAAGTATGAAGGCAATTGCGTGACCTTTGACCTTATGGCTACTTATTCAATTTTCTTAGCATTGGGACCTTCATTGGGGTGACATCACAGTTCAGGGTCACAAATCTGCACCTGAAGCTACAGTTCAGACAAGAGGAAGCGGGCGTGCCAGTAATGGAGATACCTCTGCTGATGAACTTGTCAACCTCATGGCAAAGACAGCAATTGAATCTTTGACGCAGGATCCACTGAGTTCTGCCAAGACAAAAATCTCAGTCACTCCCCTAGACTTTGGACTATCACGAGCAAGATTCCAAATTGATAAAAGTCGGTCTCACGTCATCTGGACTGAACCGGATCCTGACATTTTTGGTGGTACGGCAGAAGCTGTTGATTATCAGTTTGAGTGCTATGATCTTATGAATGCAGCACACAAAGAAAAAAGTTGGAGTGATTATAGTTCATTTAGCAATGTGATCGTCAGTTCTATTTCCTTTCTCCCATCTCCTATACTGAGCCATTGCACTTACTGATCATTGCACGTTGTTCAGCTGCTAAGTGGTTACATTATCTCTCTCAAAAGTTATTGGACGAGAAAAGCTTATCACCACCTCGGATTTCACCAAGTGGAAACAGGGGTTCTTCATCGGCCAAAAGTTCTTCTGATTCACATTTTGAACAAACTTGTTTTAAGCTTCTTCAGACTGCTGGAAAGAAGCTCTCTGATGCAGTCAAAGCTGAAATCAAAAGTCAACGTCGTCAAGCAGCGTGATTCTTACCCAAACAGATTACATCCAATCCTAGTATAAACCAAGTTTTGATCAGGTCTACAGAATCATTCACAGACTGGTGGACTTCAGAATTTGCAGATGTGTTAGATTGAAAATTTCTTCAATTTCCTTTCTACTCTCTTATCTTGATCCTCAATGCTCTGTCTGAACTTTTTCATAACTTGTTCTTCTCTGTTTCTTTCTAATCTTGTGTGTAACAATGCTTCATATCAACACCATTTGAAATACCTTTGCAGTCAAAGTACTGCAAAAAGACCATTATTAGTTACTACTGACCGCTTTGGTTTCACCATTTCTCTTCAGAACATATCGTGGAGTAGCAACTCGTGTAGCTTGAATATCATGAGATATTGAAAAGAGTTCAATAGGATGACTCAAAACTTACCTAGTGGCAAAAAAGAACTCCTCAGATGCTCAAACTTGAAATTGATTGAGGACTCCATCTTGTGTTCATTCTCAAAAGGAGACAAATGGTACAAAGCTTGTCAAGATGTGTCCATCACCACCTTCTTATCTACTATATAAGCAAACACATCCCTACAAGGGATCATTAAGATCTCTGTCAGCTTCTCTTTCTTACCTTGTCATGGTACTTGATTTGGAATAGCTTTATTCCTCCAAACCACAAGTCCAAAATCCCTATTTGGGTCTAATGACATTCAATCCCATCAAAAACACAGGTCTGAACTTGTGACTCACCCACTCCTTCCCAACTAAAAGCCTAATCCTTTTTGATCTAGTGTTGATTTGGAACATGCCAAACAATCTCTGACATGCCAATCATGTCAATCATGCATATGTGGACTGTTTCATTGGACATTCAAGTTTTGGAAAGTCCCAGGGTTCAACACAATCAGGAATGAGAGTGACTGAACAGATTCTATTCCTGGACTTCTTGGTAAGTTTCATTCATGTTCATCAATCAATGTCAGGCAACATGGAAGCTTCCCTGTCTTACTAAATCGAATTCTTTGTGTGTTTCAAGCAAGAGACCCAAGCCCTGCATTCATATCTTTCTCACAAAAAATCTCAACTTTGTAAGTCATGACAACCCCAGCAAAAAGAGATTGACACATCACTTCCGCAAAATATCATTCTGTGGCCCAAACAGCTGCTCCGTAGGGGGATCAGCCCATGATCTTGGCATTTACAAATTGTGTATTAGTACCACGCTTCACCAACTAAGCTAACCGAGCTATGAATTATTGGGACTAGCGCAGGTTGGATCGGCTAGCCAGAACAGCAAAGGTAATAATGTTTTTCCTTTACACTCATACCCATCCACAGACTGGGCCTCAAGATACCAAAATAAACAACTAGAAGAGTTAAACTTTGATCATACAATTGATGTCTCTTACATTTGAAAACTAGATACAACTGCATTCAACCAGCTTGACTTGGATCTGCCGGTGGAGGACTGAGGAGTGAAGGAGGAACTGAAGTCCCACTTGATGGTGCTTTTGGCTTCTTGAAACATACAAACGCTAAAGCTGTTGTCTTTCAACTAGATTGAAGTGTACATTTCAATGCTTCCAATTCATTTTGTAGTACCTTGTTTGACCCTTCTAAATTTGGTGTACGTTGATGGTGTTGGAACCAAACCATGAGCTTATAGTTATTTCTCTTTTTTTCTAGTTTATATTTCATTACTTAATTTGTGCGCTTTCATCTTATTACAACACTAAGTAGTTTTGTTCCAGGGTTTTACTCACACCCTTTTTGTCTAGCTTAACCTAACCACACAATGTACCACAGAATTAAGCTTATCCTTTCCAGATCTGAGAAAGTTTTCTTTTCTTCATCTTCATTGAAAACTTTCTCATTAAACAACGCATTATCAACTTAATCATCTCTCCGGATAATCTTCTCCTTCTAGAC